AAACTTCGCGGTTAGCAGTTTGGGTTCACCGAAATTATCAGTGTGTTATTGTGAAACTAATGCCTACAAGTTTCAAGCGTAAACAACTAAGGCAGAGAAGTATAATTATTACGAATTCATTTGCCTCTAATTCTAAAAGGATAAATTCAGGAACGATTGTAGTCTAAAATAAGAGTCATACTTAAAACAAAAGTTCACGTAAAACTGTATATTGTTTAATAGAAGGGACTAGTGGAGAACAATCAGCCTCACTAAAATGCTGTAACAACTGCCAACAGCTCTCTACTTCCTCTAATTCAGTTGAATCGCAACGATAGTAGTGTAAATTGTTACTGTAAATGCAGCCTCAACTGAAGGGCGTAGTTCAGTTAGTGGATTATATGTAGTCGTTAATTACCAATTGACTGCTTACTTTCTCTGCATCTTATTTCCATATGATTAATATGTGATTAGAAGACTTTGTAGATAGTATCAAAACTCCTAAGTTGAATGGATTTGCAGGCAAAATAATCATTTCTATATTGCAGATATTTTTAATTTTGGTTACAAATAATACAAAAGGAGTTTATTTTTACTTGTTTTCATCTTTTTCCTGTGCATATCATTAAGTCAGCCAAATACATGAGGTAGGCAGCAGGTATACACATTGGCAGGCGACATAGATTACATAAACCACATATACAACTGTAGATTTCCTTGGTAAACAGGAATACCATCTATACCGGACTCTCTAACATCATATATCCTGAAAGTCACTAAGCATTTAAGAAATGTTTTTGAGAGGCATTATATACCGTTGGAAACAACTGATGAAGACGACCCTCAATTTTTACGCACATATTCTAAGGACCTAAATATTGTTTCCATCATATTTACATTATTTTGTGAGTTCATGGAATGTTTGTAACATATGTTTGTTCTTCTGAATTGAAAACAGATAATAAAAACTGAATACCCCTTTAATTTTATCCTTTAATGCTTTTATTATTATTATTTGTTCATTCCTTTGGTCTTTAATGGAACATAGGGATTCACTAACACGTCTCCATTTCACTCCCTTCTCTGCAGTCTTTTGAAACTGGCTCAACGACTGCCCACAAGCTCTCATTTCTTCCTCGCACAATCTCCTCCATTTCATCCTCACCTCGGATGCCCAGCTCGTCGTTCCCCCTTTGCCTTCCACTCGACGGTCTGGCCTGGAGCGTGATGTCCCCGGTCGGCATTCTCAGTGTATCCTCAACCCATCTCAACATTCTTCTGCATTCCTGTTGGGTGATGGGTTGTTGGTTGGTTCGTTGCCAGCCAGCCAGCCAGCCAGAGTTCCTTGTTGCTTATTCTCAGTATTCTGGCCATCTGACCTCCAGTGTCAGTATCGAGTGAGCCTAGGTGGCAGCTACTGATGAATGTCTGTAGTTTGTTGGAAATGTTTTTCGTGACGCGCCAAGTCTCTCAACCATATAGAAGCAATGGCATGACTGATATTAGTATTGAAAATCCAGATCCTGTTCACACTTCATGCTGAGTGCAGTGAAGTAGATCTCCACACTGGTTTCACACTGATGAAGGTCTGTCTTTCTGTCCTTCCGATTCTGGCCTTGACATCCTCATCTGTGCCTGTGCCGCCTGTAGTTGCAACGATGCTGCCTTGCTTAGGTAGATGAGAGAGACTACTTCCTTTAGGATTCTCTTGTCAATGGTCATTGGTGCTTGTTGTTATTGTCGTTGTTGTTGGTGGCGTTAGTTGGGTATCTTCATCACCACGTTCACTTGGAGTCCCGTTATTGCTGTCCAGCCTCTTCTGCAAAACTAGTTGCTTTTCGCCTGTAGATATTCGAGTTTGTGCGACAAGATATTGGATATAAATTCAAATCTTCTAGGTTCTCTACATCAGCTCAGCCAGAGTATGCCCGCCCATCCTCTCACTGCTCCTCACTGTTTATTGCATGATCCAGTCGAGTCGACCACAATCAGGAAGATGATCAGTGATAGTGGACAGCCTTATTTTACTCCCGTCTTCACTATTAATGCATCACTGAGCTTCCCATTGTCAATCACTTGGCATGTAGCCTCATCATGTAGCATACGGCTGCTGAATGAGTTTGATAAAGGTTTGTGAGATTCCGTAGTGTTGAAGCAACTGCTTGTCAAATTACTTATCGGTTGACGCTGTCGAAGGCCTTTTCAAAATCGATGAATTTGAGGTGAGGTGGAGAGTTGACTGCCATTCTACACTCTGTTCTATGATGATGCATAGTGTAGCGTTGCAAATTGATGTGCAAATGATTTGATCTTCCTGAGGCCAGCTAACCAGCCTGTTCCAGTCGTAATTTTGAATTCAGCTCATTCTTTAGTCTCTCCAGGATGATGCGGTATAATATTTTGCTTGCTTTGGGTGGACGGGAGCATGATTTTCTCGTCAGTTCTTGGGAAGATTTCGGTCGCCCTTCCTTCGAAGTTTAAGCAGGTAGCCGTGCTCCCAGTCAGTGGGCAGGTAACTTTCCTTCCTTCCTTCCTTCCTTCCAAACATTCTGCTATAGTAGTGTGAGCATGACTTCAGTTGTCTCTGCGTCTGTTTCCAGTGCTTTTGGAGGAATTGCATGTGGTCATGATGCTTTCCAGGATTCCAGCAACTTCATGGCGTTCAGGACTTCACTTCGCCTTTTGTTGGCGAGTTTGTGTTCACTGATAATTTTGTGGCTGGGCTTCCAATGGTATTTCTGAACGAGTTTGCATGTAGTGATGATGGTGGTGTTGGTGGTCGATTCAAGATCTCTTCGAAGTGGTCAGCTCATCGTTTCCGTCGTTTCTCCTCTTTGGTGACTAGGTTGCCATCACTGTGTCTCATTGCTTTCATCTGTGTTGGTCTCTTAAATCACAGAGAGTAACCTGGTTATTTGATATAGTGTTGTCAGGTCTCTGTCTCTCCTACCAGCAGCCTGTCATGCTTCACTTGCCAGTGTGCCGTAGAAGTGTCTTTTGTCTTTGCGTGCACACTTCTTCACTTCTTTGTCTAGTGCATTGTTTGATAGGTTGTGCTCAGTTCCTCTTCTCGTTGTTTATCCCAGCACTGCACTGCACTGCACTGGAATCGTTCATCTTCTGCTTCAACATCACCATCACCATCTACCTCTCCCTCCTCCATCAGCTTCCATACATCCGTTGAGACCTTTTACTTGTCTCGCTGCTTCTTCCTTCCTCATGCGGTTATGCAGGTTTCTTTCCACATCTCTTTCAAAGAATCCCAGTGTTCTACCTCGCCCGATCCGTCAGGAATGTTGCTCAGTATCTCCTAATTTGTCTTGATGTCTGTCTGACGTGAAGATATCCTATGTAGTTTCGTCCTTCAAATCAGTTTCAGTTCTGGGTGTTGAGCGTGACTTGAACTGTGTTCTATCACCAACTTCCTTGAAAGCTTTCAGCTTGATTTGGAAGATTCCTTGCACTAGATAGTGAGTGGTGTGAAACACCTACATCTACTCCCCTTCTTCATCTTGTGTCCAGTAGGCTGGCTGCATCTCCATCTCCACTTTCTTCACATCGAGATGAAGTCGATCTGATTTTAAGTGTAGTGTGTCCTGGTGTCTCGTGAAATCAAATCTATGTCACTCTGTGAATATCCTTGTGTTTGTACACACTGCCTCCAATCATCAAATCGTTGAATGCTCAGAAAATCACAAACAGTTCTCCATTCTCCTTCATCATTTCACAGAGTTCTTCTCGACTCATGATCAGTTCTCTTCCTGCATTGTCTGCTCCCAGTTTGGCATTCATGTCACACCACCCATTAGAACTTTGATGTCGGCATCTGGGATGGGGTCTTGTCCAGTACTGATTGCAGTTGTGTGTAGAATTCCTCCTTCTTCTCTTCATCTGCATCATTTGTAAAGGCGTAGAGTAGTATTATGTGATTGTGACTTTCCTTCCTTTTGAGTTGAATCCTGCTGTCATGATCCTGACGTTGCAGGAGGACATCCTGATATCCACTCCAGAACTCAGTGTGCTCATGGTTGTCGTCTGGGTGACAATGTCAGAGTGGATTATTGACTCCTCCCCAGTTGACAGTTTGGAGAGTCCACTGTCATTCCGTATGCAGATTCCTCGCAGATTCCTGGCACTTCATTGCTATGCCTTCTCATCTCGTTTGCAATCTGTACAGCCTTGGTTGGTCCAAACATTGTGTAGACATTCCATGTCCCCATATTTACTTTTGGATTTCATCGAGAGAGAGAGAGAATACACATCGGCCAATTGGCTTCCCGAAGTCTTTAACCAACTGGTGTCATTTTGTTTCTCCGATTCCAGCGAGGAGTAATTTTGTTTTTATTTTTACTATTTTGTTTGTGCTTTGAAGTTTCTGTAGCAGTTTGATTGATTTTGCTGGGTAGGGTTGCCAGCCCTATGCCCAACCTTTTCCTTTCATCCGTGTTTAGGACTGGCTCGTAACTAGTGTACTTGTCACCTAGGTGAGGTTTTTGTTTGTTTGGATGTCCATTTATCATCAACGTTGAAGATTGTACTGCTATTTTGTCTCGTATAACACGTGACCCATCAAATGAATACCGCATAAATTATTCAGTATATTTCTTACATAAAAAGTTAACTATGGGCTTGGTACCTACATACTGTCTTAAATGTCAGTTAACGAAATGTTGAACTGCTCACTGAGTAGTACACCAACATGACTGAATCTTTGCAATCATCTAAAACTTGACGTCGAAGATTATTACTTATGCTGATTTGTGAGGTCGTATGCACTTACGATAGCAAGTCAAATAACTGATATGATTTTTCAAAATTTTTAATGGGATACTGAATGAACTCATTGAATATTTTAGAATGAATGTTACTGTGTTGCTGTAATGAACGAGAAAATTGTTCAGCAGCTATTATTATGAGTGACTACCCTTAAAAAACTTTATTATTGCGTCATTTTTAGAATTAGAAAGTAGGAAGTGTTAGTTTTCGACACAAGTGAAATAAAACTGTTTTGAATTTCTTACCTTCTGCATTTCTGTCATCTCTGTCAATATTTGAATAGTAATAGACTGACTTTTTAAATATTCCCCATCCGGCAGAGAGACGTGGTTTTACCTACAAAAAAGATGTGCATTAAACTCTAGGTTGAGCACTTCACGCAGTAAAACATTATTATTCACTAGTTGATGTTTTGAAAAGAATCTATTATTCATATTCATGTAAAAGGTTAGACTGAAAAATTATGAGTCGATTTACCCATGTGAAATGGAATCCCTTCAGTCACTAAGTAGTCCAAATTTAGCATCTATTCAGAGTACGAAAAATTATACTTAAGTCACCTCAGTATTAATCACAATGCGTTTTCTTCGTATGTACAGGTCGTAATAATTTTCACTTGTACTGAATGTCGTAAGAAACAAAAATATTCCAAATTATATATAGTGTCAAATCCTGGTACACAGATGAACATAACCCTTTAGATATTTCAGAATAATTAGATTTGGCCTTATTTTTCATTTCGTTATGTTTGCTCCACTACTGTTACTACTCATTGGTAAGGGGCTTGCACGTTAAATTTTATAATCCGTCTTCTCACTCTGATGTACGAGCTAAACCGAATGAAGAGGTGACTAAAAGTGTATTTTAATTAAATCTGATTAGTTCAAATATACGGACTACACGTTAGTGCTTGATAAATGTTTTTCTATTACCATCGTTGCTATCGTACTCATGAAAAATTTCATGTCAACATTTGGTAGTATTCTGAAGCATAACCTTGACAATTAAAGCATATAGCTTGATTTATTCGATTGAAACAGTTCTGTTGTTCGTGCAGTGTATGATACCTGGTTTGTCTATTTGTCTGCCACTTCATACTTAAAGTATTCCATGGTCATGTGACCATTTAAGTTATGGCTTTGGTATTATATTTAATTTTATATTATTTAGCTTACAGTGCTGTTGCAATAGTTGTTTCGAGCCAAATCCTTGACATCAATGTTAATTGTATTCGGTAATGGATGGTTGTCTACAATTAATAAGAGACCCTAGACATAGGATTCATGATTACAAGTGCTCATTAGCATCTCAATGCTCTTTGAGTGATTTCAAGTCATTACTACTAAACCTAATCGAATATATCTTCATTTAAATAATCAGCTTTCTTATCATATCAAAACTAACAGCCAGTAAGTTCACACCTGGAATCATATGTTGACTTTTAATCTGATAATTTATTAATTAGACATTGAAGAATTGAAAAGTCAAATGATAAAGCCTATGATAAAAAAAATTAATGTCTGATACGATATATAACATTATACACGATAGAAAACGTTACAAAATACTAGCACTTAAGCTTTTGGGTTACATAAAATTGATGCCGTATTCTTAGTAATCCGTTTCTCATATCGTAGACCTTTAAAAGTAATTAAAACTAGTACAGATAAAAAGTAAAACAATGACGTTTCACTACTTCATTTCCATGATACATATAGTATGGTAGAGCTTAGAATTCTTAAAAGATGAAAAGGATAATCCGCGATTCATAAAAAGGACTTTTTCAAAAAACAGCTACCTTTGTAACTGTAAGAAGAATATGACTCCTAATTACGACATTGATACATTCTATTCTGTCAACATGGAATAAAAATAATGAGAAACGCTTTCCCTGTCTATCTCATCCTGGGTACGTTTGATTACGGTCACTGAAAGGATAATTAGAAAATAATTTTTCAGTTTTCTTACATCTAACTTCTTCAACATCTGATCGATTAGAAATGTTCATTTTGTATTGAAACATTTAAGTTCTAAATAAAACTAAAGTGTAGAGCAACTTTTTTTCGAGGCCAAAAATAACAAACTCATCATCAAATATTGAGGAGTTTTGAGAACATGCGACCGGTATCATTATCCGTCAGAGAAACAATAAAACGTTTTGACTGGTTTTATGAGTAGCTACATAATAGCCAACACTTGAAACAAGTGGACTGAAATTTGTTGTTGATAAGAAGTAAAAATAATTTAGACAGTGGTAAATGTTTGTTTTCTCTACAGTTACAAATACTACTGACTTCAAAATACCTTAACATTGAGGGCCATAAAACGCACTGTAATTTATGAAGGTTTTTATGGCTTTATCTGGCTGTAGTTGAATTAAGCACCTGATTGTGTTGCCTCAGTCTCAGCGGTGACCTTGCATATGATATATATATATATATATATATATATATATATATATATATATATATATATATATATATTACTTTAGCCGTTCTTCACTATACTGATGACTGTAAAACATTTTTCTGACAGAAATTTAGTCGTTTAGCCTTTGTACAGTTTCCCTGAAGAATAAAGTTAGTATAATATGGTAAGACTGTCAGTGAGGGCCTCAAGTTAGGTACAGTTATGATTAAAAACAATAAAATATATTCATCAACTACGTTTACACGAAATAAAGAAAGTAAATCACATTGTCTTACCCATATTCCTAAAGTTCCGGGATGTGGTAGGTCGGTTAGGAAAATAGATGTTTCTGACAGGAAATGTATAAGAGCTGGTTTATTTTGCCAATAAGTATCTTCAAACTGCATCATGCTTGAGTTTATCCACACATAGACTTGATATTCAATCACAGTGAAGTCTCCTTCTGACTAAAAACAATGAAACAACAAGATAGAAATAATAAAAAGTACTTAACGAAGTGATATCTCCTGGTAAATTTTACCCTTATCCTTATATTAAACTTCCCTGTGTTGCGTTTTTTTCAGAAATGAAGTGAAGAGAAGAATAGTGATGTATTGTTCTGAAAATGAACGGGACTCATAGAGTGAAAATATATTTAGGTCCTTTTCTTAAACGTTTTGCATTGTTTTTAGTCATTAAAATGTAACAAAAAACATTTTAATACATATTTTCAAACAAAACTGACAATTAGTGGATGAACTGTAAGCATAAATTCTGTCTAGAAGTTAAATTCACAATCAGGTACTTCATAGTTTTCATCAGCGATATTCTTGTTGCAGATCACTGAATCCATTTCTTCACAGTAGTCAGTAAAATCATGGGTAGATGAAGACTACTGTTGATGTAATACAATGAATGGATTAAAACAATGTTAGGATTGAACTTTCAACACATGTTTTTCAAAAGGTGTATCAAATCAGTCATCAACTCCGTTCGTAATAGTTCACAACAGTTCACAGTTCGTCAAGCATGAAACATGTTTAGGAACCTATGTTACACATCGCTTTTCCAACAGCCAAGACTAGAGTCGACTCTTATGAAGTCCGGATTTCACCTTCATGTACATCTCATCACTGCTAACTCTGTGTCTAATGTCCAAGGTAACCAGCTACTTTGGTGTAATACGGTAACTTCAAGTGACATCAAGCTCCAGCGTATGCTTAGAAACATCTTGAAAACTTTCATAAGATCGAGGTTAAATAACTGAAGGTTCTACACTTGAAAGCCTAAGTTAGGTTTGATTTTGCGTCTTACTTAGATATAGGTCTCATGACTGCTTGTAACATTTATTCAAAAAGTCTTAAATACCTTTGTTTTCTGCTAATTGACATAAGCTTATCTGCGAGTAAAAATTATCCACTCAGCATTTATATATTATTTTGTTACGAAACAGTTTTTTCTGGCTGTCTACTTTTTAAAAATGAATCCTAGAATTCCTCTGTTCCGGAAATGCTGCCTAAATTGCTATGTTGAAAGACAGCTTGACTTCATTGAATGACATGCTGAAAAAAAGTCGTAAAAGAATATAAAATAAGAATTTTTGTACTATATTTTCCAAAAAGAATTTTGCAGTATAAAAACTGGAATTCGTAATTTGTATTGACTAGGCCTTAAATTACAAGATTAGCACTCCAAGAACAAGATTTTCTGATGGTAATACTTATATTTACACAACCAATCAGTGCTAAGCAATCATAGAAATCTCTCCAAAAAAATAAAAACATTCAACCAACCTCAATCGCTAAACAACAAATAGCCGTACTTGCAGTAGCATGGAGACTAAATTCAAAGAGAAATGAATGCGATTGTACATTATAAGTCATTAGAGTATAATTAGGAATAATCGGTGAGACTTCTTTAAATAGTACTTGAGAGTACTTTACGTGAACTAAACTCGATCTTCACACTAGATTAGTTGGCATAACATACTAGTAAAACATTTCCAATCATCACAGTTTCATTGTCATGAACGCTACTTGATGTTATGCAAATGATTCTCATTTGTATCGTTTCATAGAAGGGTATCAAAGCTTATTTCATTCATTTTATATGAATAACTTTGATCAGAACGATATAAAGTGATTTTTGACACACTTTGTAGGTTTTTGGTGCATCTCATAGAAATGTACACTGTTAACTGATTGATCAGCTAAAATTAACATGAATGTAAATTGTATTTCATAACTAAATGATTGTATAGGAATTCTGGTGTTACATCCACAGTGGATGCTGTTTTCTTCTATAAAATGCTTTCCGTGTTCGACTATCTACCATTCTATGAAATTATGTTTAAAGCTAAGTATTTACCATATATTTCAGAAAAATGAATTTCCGTATAATATGATTATTATTTGTCCCTTGGGTTCCTAGTGAAACATAGGGCTTCAGTAGCACGTCTCCATTCCACTCTGTTCTCTGAAATCTTTTGAACCTGGCTCAACGACTGTCCACAAGCTCTCATTTCTTCCTCGCACAATCTCCTCCATTTCACACTCACCTCGGACGTCCAACTCATCGCTTCCCATCGGGGTTCCAATCGAGTGCATGGCCTCACGCGTGATGTCCACAGTCGGCCTTCTCAGTGTATGCCCAATCCATCTCCACTTCTTTCTGCATGTTTGTTGAGCGATAGTTTCTTGGTTGGTTCACTACCAGCCAGCCACAGTTCCTTGTTGCTTATTCTCATTATTCTGGCCATATGATGGAGTGTGGGCAGCTGTTGATGAATGTCTGTAGTTTGTTGGAAATGTTTTTCGTGACATGCCAAGCCTCTGAACCATATAGAAGCACTAACTTGACGCTAATGTTGAAAATCCGGATCTTGCTGAATACAGAAGATCTCCACACTCGTTCCAGGTCAATGAACACCTGTGTTACTGTCTTTCCGATCCTGGCTTTGACCTCCTCGTCCGTGCCGCCGCCTGTAGTTGAAACGGTGCTGCCTACATAGATGAAAGAGGCTACTTCCTTCAAGTTTCTTTGGATGATGGTGATTGGTGCTTGTTGTTGTCGTTGGTTGGGTATTTTCATCACCTCCGTCTTCTCTACACTAACCTGAAGTCGTGTCTTCGCTGACCTGCCTTATCTGCCGACTTGTCAGTTTTCGCATTTACACCTTGGAGTTTGTGCGACATAAAACATTAGGCATAAATCATCAGCAAAATCCAAATTCTCTAGGCTCTTTCATCGCTCCACTGAGTGTATGCCCATCTTCTCACAGATCCTCACAGTTTGACACATGATCCAGTCGAGTCGACCACAATCAGGAAGATGATCAGTGATAGTGGACAGCCTTATTTTACTCCCGTCTTCACTTCAAATGCATCACTGAGCTTCCCATTGTCAATCACTTGGCATGTAGCCTCATCATGTAGCATACGGCTGCTGAATGAGTTTGATAAAGGTTTGTGGCACTAATACTGTAGTGTTGAAGCTGCTGCCTACCAAGTTACTTGTCAGTTGACGCTGTCGAAGGCCTTTTCAAAATCGGTGAATCTGAGGTGATGTAGAGAGTTGACTGCCATTCTACACTCTGTTCTATGATGATGCATAGTGTAGCGTTGTAAATTGATGTGCAAATGATTTGATCTTCCTGAAGCCAGCTAATCAGTCTGTTCCGGTCGTAATTTTGAATCCAGTGCATACTTTAGTCTCTCCAGGATGATGCAGTATAATATTTTGCTTGCTCTCGGTGGACAGGAGCGTGATTCCACACCAGTTCATGCAAACACTGAGGTCACCCTTCTTCCTGAGTTTGACAAGTTAGCTCTACTTCCAATAGCCAGGTACCATCTCTTCCTTCCAGCTAGACCTTCTGAAATAGTGGTGTGAGCATATCCGCTGTTGTCTCTGCATCTGTTCTCAGTGCTTCTAGTGGGATCCTATCTGGTCCTGCTGCTTTCCAGCATTTCAGTAGCTTTATGGCACTCAGGGCTTCGACTTTCGTTGGAGGATGTGTGTTCACTGGTAGTTCTGTGACTGGGCTGCAGGTGGTATTTCTGGACGAAGTGCAGGTGATGGTGGTGGTTGATTCAAGAGCTTTTTGAAGTGGTCAGACCATCGTTTCCTTTGTCTCTCTTCTTTGGTAACTAGATTTTCTTCATCATGTTTCATTGGCCTTATCTGTGTTGATCTCTTCCCTACCAGATAGTGAGTGACCTGGTTATTTGATACAATTTTGTCAGTTCTCAGTCTCTCCTACCAGCAGCCAGTCATGCTTCACTTGCCAGTGTGTCTTTGAAGTGTTTTTTTTTTGTCTTTGCTTGCACACTTCACTTCTTTGTCCAGTGTTTGATAGATTGTACTCAGTTCCTCTTCTCGTTGTTCATCGTTTCACTGTTTATTTTCTGCTTCACCAACCTCCTCTCCTCTTTTAGCTTCCAAGTGTCTGACAAGATACATTCCTTATCTTCTTTCTCCTTCATAATACGGTTATGCAGGTTTCTTTCCACATCTCTTTCAAAGAATCCCAGTGTTCTACCTCACCCGATCCGTCAGGATTGTTGCTCAATATCTCCTAATTTGTCTTGATGTCTGTCTGACGTGAAGATATCCTATGTAGTTTCGTCCTTCAAATCAGTTTCAGTTCTGGGTGTTGAGCGTGACTTGAACTGTGTTCTATCACCAACTTCCTTGAAAGCTTTCAGCTTGATTTGGAAGATTCCTTGCACTAGATAGTGAGTGGTGTGAAACACCTACATCTACTCCCCTTCTTCATCTTGTGTCCAGTAGGCTGGCTGCATCTCCATCTCCACTTTCTTCACATCGAGATGAAGTCGATCTGATTTTAAGTGTAGTGTGTCCTGGTGTCTCGTGAAATCAAATCTATGTCACTCTGTGAATATCCTTGTGTTTGTACACACTGCCTCCAATCATCAAATCGTTGAATGCACAGAAATCTGCAAACGATTCTCCATTCTCCTTCATCATTTCACAGAGTTCTTCTCGACCCATGATCAGTTCTCTTCATTGTCTCTGCATTGTCTGCTCCCAGTTTGGCATTCATGTCACACCACCCATTAGAACTTTGATGTCGGCATCTGGGATGGGGTCTTGTCCAGTACTGATTGCAGTTGTGTGTAGAATTCCTCCTTCTTCTCTTCATCTGCATCATTTGTAAGGGCGTAGAGTAGTATTATGTGATTGTGACTTTCCTTCCTTTTGAGTTGAATCCTGCTGTCATGATCCTGACGTTGCAGGAGGACATCCTGATATCCACTCCAGAACTCAGTGTGCTCATGGTTGTCGTCTGGGTGACAATGTCGGAGTGGATTATTGACTCCTCCCCAGTTGACAGTTTGGAGAGTCCACTGCCATTCCGTATGCAGATTCCTCGCAGATTCCTGGCACTTCAGTGCTAAGCCTTCTCATCTCGTTTGCAATCTGTGCAGCCTTGGTTGGTCCAAACATTGTGTAGACATTCCATGTCCCCATATTTACTTTTGGATTTCATCGAGAGAGAGAGAGAATACACATCGGCCAATTGGCTTCCCGAAGTCTTTAACCAACTGGTGTCATTTTGTTTCTCCGATTCCAGCGAGGAGTAATTTTGTTTTTATTTTTCATATTTTGTTTGTGCTTTGAAGTTTCTGTAGCAGTTTGATTGATTTTGCTGGGTAGGGTTGCCAGCCCTATGCCCAACTTTTTCCTTTCATCCGTGTTTAGGACTGGCTCGTAACTAGTGAGCTAGTTAACCAGGAGAGGTTCCATAATATAATGATTTAATATTTTTTGCCGTAGTTTTTGTTTCTTTCCTGGTGACCTTATGTTGAATACTGTTACAAAGTAATATGAAAGTTTTTATTGAGTAAAACTATAAAAGGTGAAGTATTATGTCGCGGTATCAGTGTCCGCTGAAAGAACGCTGTCTCCATTTTCTAAAAACAAAGAATAGAGAGTCCTTGCTTCAGAAAGTAACACAGCAGATTTTATTTTTGGATCACACCGCTGACATTCATCCGTTTATTTCAGAATATCTAACTACGTTTTATTACTCATATTTATACTATGAAGAGTTTGTCTAAGTAATTCATACATAGAAGACAAATGCAGTTACTTAAAAGATAGATAATTCTTTCTCAGTTAGCTAGTTACCTGTTTATTCATTGTTTGAGTATCTTGACCAAACTGAGGTATCTGCATGAATGATTTACTTGGTACAAACTGAGGCGGTTCCCATGAGAATTCATAAACCTTAGAAACAGAATCTTTCCTTCCACTATCTGATGCTTTTGAGTCGATTAACAATTGATGTGCTGTTGATCTGTTAGCTTGCCAATGTTTTACTTCATTAAAATGAACATTTCCAACTGAAATATTTACTGAATTCATAACAAAAAATAATAATAACAGAGTTAAGATTGCATTTTCTAGGAATTAGGACATAACAATAACTGATATCATTTTTTCCATTATTAAACATAAGTCTAGTGTTGTCATTGTTTTTACACCATAGACGTTTTCATCAAATTCGATATTTTTAGTGACAAATACTAATTATAAATATCCAGATCACAGTTAGCAGTCATCTCCAGGAAAAAATTTGGCACTGAATTTCGTCTCATCATCTCATTATATTCTTTAATGTTATCCCAGCGTGATTAAAAATATCTAAACAGGACGTTTTTAAACTTTCTGTTGAGTAAGGCACAACTTCTTGAACAGGATATTCGGATTTCTTGTTACAGTTCAAAATAGAAGTTGAAATGGTTCAACATTACATGTTTAGAGTTTGAGGTCAGCTATGCATGAGAACGTTATGGGCATTTAAGTGGTAGGATAAATGATAATAGGCTATACAGTGACCGATGTCTAGAGAGTAACCAACTCCATATTGTCTAGTCCTAAGTGCTGATCGGGTTCTATGGATCATTCTCCCATTTGATCAGCAGGCTGGAAGAATCGCCATCGCGATGCACCGGAAAAAATGTTAATTTTAAATAGGCAACCGGCAGGAAGCCCTGGACCTAGATTTCATGCTTTTTGGCACTCGACAGTAAAACGTATCTACAACCTCTATTCGAGCCCACACCACCCAGTACTGCAGACAAAGATGTTAACACAGATTTTCCGGCTGCAACTGGCCTTCTTTAGAACCGGACTATGTACACTGATCGGTAGAATTGGTCATCAAGTTTCAACCGGCATTTAGGATCAAACAGGATGAAGTTATCGATCAATCAGTGTACCTAATCCAGTTCTACAGGAGGTCAAACCTAGCGCATATTGCTCAGTGGTAGCGTATCTGACTGCAGCACCAGGACATGTAGGTTCAAATCTCAGGTGCGACGTCAGTTCCTGAAAGGTTGCACGTACGCCTCACTGACGACTGCTAAGAAGCACGAAACCTAAGTTAGGCTTCTAACTGATTTTCTTCATTCAACTAAAACAGGTTATATTTGAAACATCCATCGAGAAATCAAGCTGAACTGAAATATTTTTAAAACTGATTCGTGTTCAGTGGGAAAAGTTCATCCAACTGATATGAATAATGCTGACATATTGGGGAAGGGTTATTATTCACATAAAAAATGATTGACCTCAGAAGTTATGTATGTCTCAACGGCGTTAAAACTATTTGACAAAGGAGGAGGGATAGACTTGTCACTTGTTTGGCAAAAATTAATTCAGCGAAACCATTAAAGAAGACCATCGCCAAATTTAACTCTAATGTACAATGTCCATTACTTATTCTTCAATAATAAAACATACGTTTCATTATTTTCATACGAATTTAGTGAACGAAACACGTACATATTGAGTAAGATCCATACACACTTTGACCATTCCACACTTCTCAGTGACAAACGACAATGAAGATAGAAACTTGGAGAAGTTTGTCTCTTTTATCAATTTAATTATAGAATCAGGAAGACAAGTATTTCGAGACGATGCCACTTCATAGTTTTTCTGCAGTTGCATAACAACTAACATGGCCAACAACAATGCATTACTTCAATACATTATTCTGTAATCACCCAGTATCAATACCAGTTTGCCAAACTCCGGCTATCTCAGATAGTCAAAATGATATTACATTATTTGTCAGTATTGCAGTTTTGCGAACTAAAGGGAAATAGTAATGACTAGTCATTATACTACGTCAAGAAGTCTAGGCAACGCCAGAGGTCACAGCCATTGTTTTCTGAGCACAACTTTGGGTGAGTGATTAGTCAAAAGTGTTTCTGTCACCTTCAATACTTTGGGTTGAAGTTTTATGAAAACAAATCTTTAGGATTGTTTTTATGACCAGACATCACCAACTGTCTGGTAACATGATGCTGGACTCTGAGTCATGTAAAAAACATTTGGTTTAGTCACGCGATTCGATATCTACCGAGAAACATGTCCCTTTCGACCTTAATGCATCATTCCGTTTGTTATTCCTAATATATCCCTAAAACTGTAGGTGAACAGAAATAATGAATGTGGCTCTCTGTGTAGCCTGAAATACTTGATAATGGTTGGTCATTATTATTTCCCTTTATTTCACATAACTACATATATTGAGGAACAGTTTATTATTGTTAATGAGCGATGATTGGAAGTAAAATGAAAATTTGAACCGTGGCTGGATTCAAACCAGCAACGGTAGGGTTTATCTCTTTCAACCATCATCCATCATCAATACTGGTCTGCCAAACCACAGCTACCTTAGATAATCAAAATGACTAATATTGCTAGCTAGGCTAGCTGTTATACGATTGTAGAGAAACTACGAAATAACGTCATCTAGAAATATTTATCGTCCGAATGACTTGGTTAAATAAAAATAGTACCTTGTAGTCACTGATCATAATTACTCAGGCAGAACGGCAAATCAGTTCAATAATTACCTACACATATGAAAATCTTTTGCGTGGTATTTGACTATCTATTTTGAATTTTAACAGCAAATCGGAAATTTTTATCAAGAAACTTGTGGCGAAGGGTACAGAAAAACTTTTCATCGATTTTCCAAGTACGCTGGGATTGTAATCAAGTACAATCTTTTACAAAACACTGATGTCACTAAGATACATTCAAAACATCAGATAAGACACATATTTAGTGCGTTCATTTTCAAGGTATAACGCCGTCAAAACTAGACTCAAAATCAAAAGGGTTTTACAGCTTACTTCAAAAATATAAATGACATAGAAGTTTTAATTCTATTCAACCAAAATCTGTTGCAATATAGATATAACAGCGCATTTTCACGATATATCTTTGGGGTTTAGAGTTTACTTAGATACAGATGCCGATATTGCACGACAATTGTCACAAATATAAAACTTAATCAGTCATTATTATGACGAAGTCAGATGTTTAAGACAATAAGTTTTTCACAGCAATAGTGGACACTGTATTAATGATGTATCGTGGCTAACAGTGGAATCTAGGATGCGCATTTCGTCCTATTTAGGACTCGTCAGCTGGATGTATCTGCTTCCCAGTGAGTGATGATGTTCCCACCGGGAGCTCATATGCCAATAGAGACCAACCAATTCTTTCCAAGCAACGACGGTATCATATACAAACAATTATACTAATAGTGGACACTATTTCACTTATTGAACATGTGGTGTTTCGAATTTCTCAGGTCTGTGTTATAATATAGAACTTGTAATTTCATTCACGTTAAGAATACTTTACAGGCAGATTACTCTTGTGATATAGTGAATTTAACGGTGTTTCACCAAAACAGCTGCCTCTTATACGAAATTTACGATATGAACAGTGTATAGGCCCAAATGGAAGTTCCTCATTCTGAAGCTTTTTCTTTCATTTCATATGAACTATGTATACTGACAGTAAAAACATGACGAAAAGGAAGTGACGAATTGATACTGAACAAGTCAAAACTGTCATTTTAATAGTTTAGACGTAGTGTCACCATGTCATTACATTCTCATTACATTCTCAGAAGAAATTAAGTTTTCATTAGTGTAATAAATGCTTTTCAGCAGTTAAAGCTGTCTAATACAAAGAAATCGATCAAGATATTTATTTCGGGGCATTTATGCAATCAGTGACGAGATTTCGGTAGATATAACCAGTCATACCAGAAGTCATTAGGACAATTAAACCATTCAGCTCAATGGTCACAACACCATCAAGATATAAAGGTTCTTAGATTAATCAGCTTATGTCATAGCCATGTAAAACTTTGAATTCACTTCAATTACAGTGAATGCAAAATTATTTGATATGCTCGACTTAATTTATAACTTTGTCGGTCATGGCAGTGTATGTAAAGTGTATTTATGTACTCAGTAGGAAATCGAAAGTAGGTTACACAAGAAAATGAGAGTTCTACTGTGCAGATTACCTTATCGGGATTGACTGTATGTAAATATCTGGTGTACCCTAGGATGGTTTAAACAACTTAACTAACGAACTGCCACAAAAAGATGGTAGGAACATTGGCGGAAATCAGATTCACCTCAATTTAAGTTTTACCACATAAAAATCAAATGCCGTTGTTATCACTGTTTAATTATCTTCCTGAGTTCTTTATTGAGTCGTCGTTACATTTTCAGTTGACAGATGTGATACGTAAAAAAATGTAGAATTTGATGGAAATGAAACTCTTAGAAAAGTCGATTCTTTGTCTTTAAAGACTACGGATATTGAAGATGAATATTGACTACTACTGGTACTGCTAATTTACTTGCTAGGAGCGATGCTATGCAATACAACACTAGTTTTCAAGTTACGTGTAAAGGGGAATACGAGTGGCGTAAAAATCCTGCTTACTTGCCCTATATTCAAAATAGTACTAGAGTGTTTCCAACGATTCGGGTATTTTTACATTTTCATCCTCGTTAAGTTTGCATTATAGACTAGTTTCAAAGTTGTTAGAGAAACTAATATCTTGGACAAAAATTTTCTCATGAATCACTAAACGATAGAAAGGACGTGTTTAATATTTAAAATTTTCAATTATCAATACTTTCAGCTTCTTTTTTTCTCAACGCAAAAGTTTCACAGCTTGTGGCTGAATAAGTTTAGTTCATTCAAATAATCGCATCTTTTTGAACTTTCCAATAATATGAATGATAAATATTTTGAAACTCAGTTACATTTCTCAAATGTTCAAATCTTCATACAAAATCTTGCAAAATAATTATTTTTCACAGTGATCTAGTGACATTTCGTGGATGAAACCACTGAAAGTTATCAGTCAAAAGGTGATAAAGTAGATAAGCTTACAAATTTAACAGCTACCTAACTTAATCTCTGTAATGTATATTCAAGATATGCAGTTTTTAAAATTGTTCATCCAGTGATTTATAATGTACTCTTGATATCTAAAGAGATTCATTTGGGATCAGCACGTTTAAAACTACAATCTAGGGAGGTTTCAGCTGTATGCTAACTGAGATAATGACAAAATGAATGATATATGAAAACATATAATCTGACAAAGTTGGTAGAAAACTTAATTTCTTTATATTGACGATGATTATAAGTAATGTAGGTGTTTTCCATGTTCATCCGACCGGTATTCTTAATTTAATTTACTTAACCGGTTACTTAGATTCTAAGGTCGAGTGCCATTCATCATTTATGACTGACAGTGATACTTCTTATAAAAGAAATTAATTCTACTTGAAATTTTGTATTACTGAAATAATAAACGAATTTCTTTAAGTATACGAAACAAGAGTATTGATGAAAATCGGTCCTCACTTTACAGGGAGGTCAGTTAAGAAATAAAGCAGTTGAAGTTTGCAACATAATCCGTGCATTCAAGGTTAATCCACTTTTTGGATAACAGGATTTCATAGACCTATTTTAAGGCATTTATTTATCGTTCTCTGATCCTATTCACTATATTACCCTATTATAACCTATTATAAGAAAATACTTTTTAGAAAAAGGACAATGGTTTCAAAAATTTTGTTCTGTCTAAATGTATGATATGCGGCTTCAAATTATTCAAGACGCTTCGAAATTTTTGTCATTTGAAGTGTAGTATATAGCCAACTTAAGCTAATCAGATTATTATTTATTGTATTATGTCGACTTTTAAGGCTGACAAAATAGCTGTCTTTGGGATGAAAAGCTCACATTCACTGATCTCATAGCTAATTTACTGAATTGACTGAGAAAAAAATAGGCATCTACTGGTTGTCGCCGGTGTCACGCTGTCCTGACAACTAATTTACTTTGGGCAAGCTATTTAATTATATATATATATATATATATATATATATATATATATATATATATATATAAATCATATGTCTCTATTACCATCTTTACATATTTCTAAATCCCCGAATTAGTTGATTATTTTCCATAAAGATGTAAAGTGATTCAGCCAAATTAAGCTCATTATTATAGAATACATTGGAAGGCATTACACCACCAAACTGGGAAACACGTATCCCATTCGGTTTAAATGATAAGTCTGAGAGTAATTTTTATGCTTGTTAAATACATTAAGATGAGTTAATACACATTTTAGTCCCAGCGGGAACTTCAGTATTTGGACAGACCCACCAAAAATATACCTGAAAGCAACACAAATCGATCAAAATTTTAATCATAACAAAAGCAACCTAACGTCTCATATGAAGACTTGTATACTAGCACTACTTGTATTTTCCAAGACACATTGCAGCACTTAAAAATTACAGAATTTAGAAGAAAACTAACTTTAAAAAGTGTTCATAAAGAAGTAGTCGTCAAATCGATTTCATCGGGAAATGTTTTTCAACGGAACAAAAACCAGGATAATTACACCAACCTAAAGATCAGTGTTCTTACCACATAGAAAGTGTCTCAGAAACTGTCAGTGGAATACGTCATCTGTTTACTATCAGCGTGGCGCACAGAGCAACCAAATCCTGTGTTAGCTGAAGCATATATTACTCGAAGAACAGAAGATGGATTCAATCTACAAAACCCAGTCGTAGAACAGACCAAAGAGTTTTAAGCGTAAACTAGCATTCAGAAGAACTTACACATAACCAGCGATACGGATTCACGTAGATGGACACAAATACAACTTTGATAAGAACAGTGCAGAAATACTATGACTACCAAGCTTAAACAGACAGAATTCTTGGGAGCACCTCACTTCAATCAAATGGCAATCAAAAAGCCTGTGAATATTAACTCAACATATAGACTACTGAGAAGAGATCAGCCAACTATGAGTTAATCAAGCAAATAAATAATCAGACACTAGATAAACAGCCTATGTCACATTGTGATAATCGCTATAAATGTCAATTTTTGATGAAATACAAGGAAAAATTACCGCGACTCGCAAGCCAACAACACTCAAAGTCACCAAATATCCTAAGTAAACATTCCTGTAATTTGAAAATGCATCACTTTATGAAATATATGTTGATGAATTCACTTAGCCTGGCGATAAACCTTCAAAAGAGAACAGAGCAATTATCAATATCCGAGTGTCTGCTACTGCTCAGATGATAAATACATATTCTCCAGTGAGTATAACTACACTGTCGTTTGGTTTGCAGATAAATAGCTACGAGATGCTGTTTGGCCACTGGAGGGCAACCAGTTTCATGCTATCTAGTCCTGAGCACCGACCGAATTCCATCGATCACTTACAATTTGACTAACAAGCTAGGAGTCTCAGTATCGCGATGCATTTGGTCAGCACTCAAGACCAGACAACATGAAATTGATTGCCCTCCGGTGATCAACCAATGTATCTACACCAGTTCTGCAGGAGGTCAGTCAAGTCCTGAATAGCTCGGTGATAGCATCGTTGATTCCAGCACTGGATGGTCCAGGCTAGGATTTGACAGCAGACGCAACTTTTCTCTAAGTCCCAGACTTGTCTTGCTGACAAGTGCTAAAAGCCTGAAATGTTGATGCTAAATGACTTCAAACAAATTGCAAATAGCTTCGAGACCATGTCAAGCAGTATGTGAAGTTACATGAGGATGCTTTTGTTACAGCAGTGTTATATTACGTTCCATAACACTACCAATGAATGGCTTAACTCTGTAGAACAGGCATTAAAAAATGCATACATCTTTCACGCTTACGGTTTGATTTGTAATTCAAGTCTTAGATGCGTTGATTACGCATTTTTTATATTACTTTTAGTGTTTTTTAACAATTTCAAACTCAGTGAGACACCTAATTCAGAATAATGGCCTAGGCGGAATGCAGAATTTATTCAAAAGTAAAATGATGCCTCATCACATCAAAATAATATCCAGCCAAAGTTACCGTAACCTCAATCAGCTATAAATCGATATTATACTAAGTGTGTTTGAGATTCAGCCTCTTCAAAAGCACTTCACCTGCTCCAGATGAGTACTTTCAAGCAGTCCTAAAAAGCAAGACACTTTAAAAAAAGGTTAAGGGTTCGAAATTATGAGAGAAATACTTCATAATACTACATGAAGTTTGCGAATAAGATCTCTTGATTGATCTGTCACAAGTTCGCCAGTTTAATTTTGTACAATATTATTAACAGTGTAAATTAATTACCTAACATTTCATCTAAAGCTCATTAGACTAACTGTGGCTCAGTTGGTAGTGCATCTGACCGAAAACTCGGTGGTCACTGGCTTGAATCCAGCCACGGCCCGAATTTTCATTTCACCTTCAATCATCACCCAGTATCAGTACTAGTTTGCCAAACTGCGGCTATCTCAGATAGTCAAAATAATTAAAATTAATTGTCAAAAGATTATAGTTCTCGAAGAAATAGAATTTTCACTTCATTTAAACAGGTCTCTTACTTGGATTAGGAAGCTGGATTGTTACGCTGGCAGTAGACTGAATAAGCTCTAAATGTGAAAGATGCTCACTTAATTCGTTTGTAGCTATGACACTCAATATAATAGATTTGCCCAAATTCAATCCAATCAGCACTAGGCTAAAATAAAAAAGGTTTAATCAGTTGAATTATTGACTTCTATTGGCTAATTATATACTATATATGATGCAAAAAATAGTTATGTAAATAATTTCGTAAATGATACAAATCCAGCATAACGGAATTATTCAGTTCATAGTACCATGGTACAGTTGTCCAAGTGCTGGTTCACAAATCTTCAAAAGACTTTAATCTCTCTTTTCTCAACGATCTCGAACTATTTGTATTTGTACTTCAATCCATTTGATGACTGAAAATATGTGAAGCAGTTTTCCATAACTCAGTAGTTAAACAGTAAGTTACTAGCTAATGAGAAAACAGATTGTTTGATCCATAAGAAGTCTCATAATTGCACAAAACAGATGAAGTGTGTCCTAATTTTTGAATAGTTCTCTAAGTAACTTTTTGAGTAATAAACTGAAGTACTTAACAAAGTCTGATCCTTTACCAATAAAATGATAGAATAATACAATTCAATTTACATTCAACTGGGCTTTTTTTACTGTTAGCTACATAATAAATAAACACTTACAATCTATTTTTTTTCTCAAAGTATTATTTTTCTAATGGTCTTAACAGTCGTAACAAATGGCTTTTAAAAATCACTAACAGCTAAAACTAGTTACCAGGGTGTGTGTAAACCTGGGAATTGTATTTTAAGACATTCATGTTATATGTTCTTGTAAATTTTAAATAAAAAGTATTTGAAGCCAAAACGTTTCTCAAAATCAGAGTATTTGTGTGTTGAGTACCTACATTAAGGCTGGATAAAGATGACTGAGAATCCTATCTTTGAAAATGCACAAAGGTTTTGCTGAAAGTGAACTTTTTTCATAAGTGATTTTGGTTTCTTTTAAAAATTTATTTATTGTACGACCATTGTCATCACTTACGTGCATCAAGATAACTTTCTGAAGCGAAACAAAGGTCATTTAAATGGTATTTTTCTAACACCTATATTCAGTGAATTCACTTTTTGTATAATAGAGGATAACAGGTATGAACAACTGAATTTTTACTTCATATAAATTCATGTAAAGGAGTGTAACCTGACTCCTTTATATCCCATATTCCTCCAGAAGCACTAAAAACAGACGCAGAGATAACAGAGGTCATGCTCACACTACTATTGCAGAAGGTTTGCAGGGAATAAAGTGTACCTGCAGATTGGAAGAAGAGTTACCTTGTAATACTGCAAGAAAAACAAATCATGTGCACATCAAATTGCAACGCTACACATCATTGTAGAACGGAGCATAGAATGGCAGTCAACTCAACTCTACCTCAAATTCACCGATTTTGAAAAGGCCTTCAACAGCGTCGAACGGGAAATAATTTGGTAGGCAGCAGCTTCAACACTACAGTTTTAGTGCCATAAACCTTTATGAACCTCATTCAACGACTGCAAGATGACGCTACATGCCAAGTGATTGACAATGGGAAGCTCAGTGACGCCTTTGAAGTTTGGACAGGAGTAAGACAAGGTTACTGCCTACTATCACTGATGATTATCTGTGGTTGATTGGACTAGGTCATGCGTCAACCTGTAAGGAGCTGTTAGAAGAAAGGGATACGCTGGCTAGATCGATGAAGAGACCTCGGAAGATTTGGATTTATGTCTGATGTCGCACAACCTTAAAGATCTACAAGCGAAGACCAACAGGTTGACAGAAGAGATCAGGCAGTGAAGACGGGACTTCAGGTAAACGTAGAGAGGACAGTGGTGATGAAGATACCCAACCAAAAATAACAACAAGCACCAATCATCATCAGCGGGTCGAACCACAAGAAAGTAGTCTCGTTCAACTATCTAGGCAGCATCATTTCAGCCACAAACGGCACAGATCAGGACACTAAAGCCAGGATCGGAAAAGCAAGACAGACTTTCATGAACCTGAAATCAGTGTGGAGATCTTCTACACTCAGCATAAAGCGTGAACAAGATCCGGATTTTCAACACTAATGCCAATCGATTCAGTGCTTCTGTGTGATGGTTCAGAAACTTGGCGTGTTGGGAAAAGCATTTCCAACAAACTGCAGACATTCATCAACAGCTGTCTACACTCGTTACTGTAGATCAGCTAGATGACCAGAAAGAATAAGCAACAAGGAGCTCTGGGAAAGAACCAACCAAGAACCCATCTCGCAATAAATATGCAGAAGAAAATGAGAGGACCACTCGGGGACATAACGTGTCAGGTCAGGCCCTCGCATTGGAAACAACGAGTTGGGCGTCCATGGGTGAAGTTAAGGAGATCGTACGAGGGAGAAATGAAAGCTTATGAGCAGTCGAGGAGTCAGGTTCAAAAGACTGTCTAGAACAGAGTGAAAAGGAGACGTGCTACTGAAGTCCTACGTTCCGAGGGACAAATAATAAAAGAAGCTAAAAAAGATAATGAAGTCCAGGAACTCAGAAACTCGCAGATCAGATTGCACTAAAAAGTACTAGGTTCGAGCTCTATTTTTCCCAGAACGCAAAAGTAAGTACAGGAGAAAAACCTGTTTGAGATCTGTTCTACCACTGTCAGGACATCTGAGCATAAAAATATATACTGATCACAGTATTTATCCTAGTTTCGGACAGTCTGGTCGTTATATATACATAGCATTAGGCGAAACTCAGGTAGGTATCAAGAAATTTCTACTTGTCCATTTGTTCAAAAATGAAATAATAGCAAAAATAATTATCTTTAAACTAATCATTCTCACGCCTATACATTCGTTAATATACCAGTCAAATGATGAAATTTTACGGACAACTTACCGGTCAAAAGTAAAACCTAATCGCTAGATGTAATTAGGGAATGAAATATTATGAAACAAAAAACACGATTTCAATGGTTTTTATCAAAAATGCTTTGTACAGTAAGATTTGGTATCTTGTAAAAGTAAATAAACCTACAGAAACAAAACATAAACAGGTAAAGAGCCTCGGTAAAAAGAGTTTTTACAGATGTTCACATGCACCTGAGAGGCTTAAAACAATATCTGTACTATGTGCTCACTTGAAAATCGTACTTGGGAACGTTACCCAGCCTGGTTGCTCAGAGATGGACACAAAATCATCCTCAGCTTCACTGATGAACACCTAGTAGACTCCCAACATCTTCCTCCTCCGGAAAACTCATCCAATGTTCCCTACAAAGTTCGACTAAGACGTTCAGAAGGGGCTAAGGATTAAACGCTTATGCATACTCGAAGCTATGGCGATTCACACCCTCAAACCTCAATTGTGTATCAAAAAGTATGTGCAGACACTCTCTTAACCGAGACCCTAAGCAGATGCTTTTCATCCCTGCTTACAATTTATTTTCGTTTTTATTTATTTGTTTATTGATATATTTTCTTGTATCTATTTATTTTTATCAGATACCAAATCTTACTTTTCAATGCATTTTATAAAATCACTGGTAATCATGATCATTAACATCCAAACCATAGTTGTTACGAATGTCCTGGAAGAAGTTGAGCACTCAATCTGATTGAATCATTATACGAATATGTTTTTAATGTAGGGCCAGCATGTTTAGAAAATCAAAACAAGATATTACTGAAGGCTTCTCCGTGTTAGCCACAACTTTTTCAGGAGAATATATGAATTTTTGTGTGACGTAATATTTCATTCCCTATGTATATCTATCGATTGGGGCTTAACTTTAACCGGTAACTTATCTGGAACATTCTATCATTTTACTTGCATATTTACGAATTTCCAGCTGTGAGAATAATGAGTGACTTTTAAAGTCACCCTAGCAATAACTGGAATAACCAATCAGACTTATATATTTTACGAAGACCTGCCTTTCCAGCCGTATTAGAGGAACTCATTGGTTATTTCGACCGTTGCTACGGTGGCCATTAAATTCGTCCGGGAATGATTCGTTGAAAGATTATTATCATCGTTGTCACCTCCTTTTGTTTTCCTAAAAACTGAGTTACTTAGACATGATGAATAAATTAGGAGGAAAGCTTTAGTCATAGACTGGTGAGAATCAGTTTTTTGTACCTCCAGCTAATACACGAGAAGTAACTGATAGTCGTATCCGATTCCCAAAGAAATCACTCAGTGTATTTTCTCAGCCTTCATTTTGACTGGTGGATGTTTCAGTTTTGTACCACAAATTGACATCAGAACTTTACAAGGATCATGAATACTAACATGGTATTCTAACGTTTGCCACTAAAAACTCCAATTCAGAAAATAAACTGGTCTAAACATTCACATGATGAGACATAAATATTCATAAACTTTTCATGTATCCAATAATCACATCTGAAATGCACTAATAAACTCAAAATATTTCGCACAATATTCGTATCTTCATAAACAGGCTGAGTAAACTATAATTTTGTGAAATGTAGACCATTAGGTTAGAAATCCGTAAATAAATGTTTAATGTACAGTTTCACTCACTCACAATGACTTTTATTTACAAAATATTAACATCTGCTGTCAAAAATGACCATATTCAGCAAAGCAGTATCCTGTGTAAAAAATGAATACGGATTTTCTAAATGTCCTACTAATAAAACTAATCATTAAGTCACCTGCCTTATTTTTTGACAGACATTTAGCTTGTATTATTTACTGATAAGAAGGTATTATTATACGGAGATTTGTATTTTAAAATATTTCAACTATAAAATAAAAGTGTTATAAGGAAGGCATCGGATGAAAATATTCTTCAGTTTTTTGAACCAGCTATGAAAATTGAATACTTATTTACAAACACAGCTACAATACTTTCGGTAAGCTTATTGAATATCCACTTTTTCATTTAAAATCATGAATGAACGCAGGATTGTCTACATATTTAGCATCAATTACTTTATTGAACATTACAATTCACTTTAGTGGAATATCGTGTTTTCGTCTACAATTACTGTGGGATTAAGTTAATGCAGTTCTCATGTTATATGTTCTATTTTTATATTTAGGAAAAGAAACACAAAATAGTAAATTAGAGAAGTGTGTCTACGTCATTTTCGTATCTTTAAACTATGAGAAGCTTTTGATATGTTAAATAGCAATTGTAAACTGCGAATTAGCTGATATAGAGAAGTGGTTGCATTCTGTAGACATTTTTCCTACAAAATTATTGATGAATTAATATGAACTGATGCTCATAAATTAAAGAACAAATATTTCAGCGAAGGAAATCTTTTTCAACGAGTTTATTTTCAAAACCTGCACAATCGTATGCATATAATCACAAGTAGTGAGACATATACTGAACATGTCAGTGGTCGTCTAACCGATGAGTAGAGAGCAGTGACGTCATTTAGTCAACAAATCATTAGCTTCACTTCAGTAATTTTGTCTTACAAAGTAAGGTGTTGACCACCCATTTTTGGAAGGCACTTTGATATACTCTAAAGAGTTAAGTGTGTACGATATTGATAACCGGTACAGGAACTTTGTTTCCATTTATCAGTTAGCTGAATCCTGCGTAGAAATAATCAAACGGTGTATATTCTAGAGCTGAAGAACAAATAGGAAGCTCTCTAAGAAACGCAACTCCATAGATGAAAAACATGACTCCCCAAAGGGTTGATAAACCCCTTCACTTCCACTTAGTATATAGTATAAAAGAATCCCTCTGGATTTGTGATGGCATACTTGATTCATTCTACTTCATGTCCTAAATGCATCTAGGCAGTAAACGATAACTGGAGAATTCCCGCTGTCGTAACTTATTTCTCTTCATTTTTTGAAAGTTCACTTCATTATGTAAAAACCTGTTACGCAGTTAAAAGTATGATTTATAAACAAAGCTTATCGGATTCACAGAAAATTACCAGCCAACAAAAACTGCATACATGAAATGTACTATGACACGAAATCTGCAACTGTTTCAGTAATCGAATCATGACGTTTTACTTATGTTTGCTGACTGAATTGCGCCGTTAAAAAGTGTCATGATACTATCTTGTCATCCTCACAATACTTCCGTAAGACAGTGCATCACATTATATTCTCGATCGTTAGTTTTCTGGGTACTATCATTTAAATCCACTTTTCGTTCTTTTCAATAGTACTATAAACATGAAACTGTTAACCCTTCAGTGACTAATCAGTCTACCTTATCGAGTCCTACAGAGGATAGATCGCGACCCCAGCGGCTCAGTGATAAAGTCTCCGACTGGACTACTGTGTGACGCCGGTTTGAATCTCAGATGGGATATCCAGGGAGGTCGCATATGCTTATATATGCCTATTTGCTTATTCCACTCAAAATATTTCGTCACGGAATCATCTGTACTGATAACGAAGCTGGTAGGCAAAATGTCGCCTTACTAACCTTTATTCTTATTTAAGCTTCAATTTTTAATGAGCTATGTGAGTAATTACTGACACACAACTCAGACTACTGAAATACATTCCATTCATTTTTTACTACAAATGTCCAGCAACTACTTAAAAATGTAAGAGCAGAAAGTGAGCACTATGGTAGTGTCAAATTCCATATCAAATTAGTTTATTTTAATATTTCTTACACTGAAACGATATTATTTACTGGACGACGTTTTCAGCTGAATTTATTGTTCATATTCATATCGTGGTAGATGTGCAATTTTCCTATCTTTATTCTATAATGTTGTTTCTCTTTAAGTACATAGGTCAAAGTAGTCGAACGGGACCAGTCATAAAGACAAATCACCGAACTTTGGCCGAATCTAGAATGACAGACCACAGTAAGTTAAAAAATCGAGGAAAAAGCTTAGCTATGTCGATGCTTGTGATCGCACACAATCACACAATAGCATGGAACAAAGTGATAGGTGTTGAGTTTAAGTTAGTTATAAACTAACTTAAACGGGTAAATGGAGCTTCATTTACTAAATCAGCATCGAACTTGTGCGGTAGAAATGACTTAATACCTATCCCAGATATTTGGAAAATTTTACGACCCATATGGCAAATGAAAGAGAAATCTCAACACCTCTGCTAAAACGGGATGTAGAAGATGTGCAGTTACCCTGGCTGTGCATATGAACAATAGATTCTGTGCTAAACGTCATCCAGTGAATAGTAACTGTTTTGTTGTGTGAGACGCCCAATATCTAACAACTTAAAAGCCAACCGGCAAGTGAGCGTCATATATCTCTGTTTTTAAAGCTATAAAGCTTTATTTGCATTTTCTCTTTCTCTACGTATAACGCTGCGTAGAAACGAAATGGACTGATTATGCAGGTGTTAATCATGAAACGGTAGTGAATAATTTAAAAGCACTGTGAGTGTATTACCCGTGTGAAATAACAAAACATGATAGTAAGCTAAACATGAGATTTTTGCTTATGATGTTGCTTGTTGAATGCTTCATTTCAGTCTAAGTTGTCTACAAATGTTTCATACAGTCTGGGCAACCTTTTATTTCCTTATAAAAGTCTGTAGGCATGAGTGGTACGTTGTAAGGCTTACGATATTATATTGATCTCGGTAACTAGCAGAGAAATTCAGGACGCGCGGTTTTCCCTTTTCAGGACTCATGAACAGAGTTGAGGCGTCCTGATGGGAGACCACCTGGCAACAGATGTCGAGTAATTTGACCTTTTTCATCGACGGGAAATTAAAAGTATCATAAAATTAGGCTTTGGACGTACATCGATAAAAGACTGAAACGCTCGCTATTACAACCTTCTTTATAATAAATTATTGCGTCGGATAATAGTAAGAAAACATTCATTTAATCGGTTGATTTCAGAGTATAATTCATCGTGGGCTGATATCGGTTAGAGAACCTTTCAAAACCTGAAAGCGGTGGATGGTTATTTGGCTCTAATATGACAAAGCATTTGCTATCAGTTCTGATGGTCATGAACACGCTACCTTATCTGGCCATAGGCATACGCTGATATGAAGTTCCATGCTGTCCAGTGCTCCCGAGTTTCGCATGGTTCTTCAACTGATTTCAATACGTGATGAATACTTTACTGCAGTCAGTTAGAGTACAGTCAGGCATCACTGGTCAAGACCTTGCTGCACTACTTTATTATGTGCGTTAATTCCTCTAAAATAGTTTTTTGTTTCATGGTTGGTTGTGCGCAGTTTCTTTGAGATAGCTTGACAACAACAACATCAAATATGTACTTACTATTATTCTACTGTTTGATCTGACGTCCTTGGTAGCTCAGTCTTTTAAACTCAACCAAAGTTGAAAATGATGTCCATGAGGTGTTGTTTTAAATTTATTACCTAGTTAGTATCAGCACAGAATGTGAAACCTTTTGTTACATTTGATTTGCATCATCAACAACATGTATACTAATAATACTTTTTTTAAGAAATGAATTTACATAAAGCATACAAGGTTTTTACCTGGTCATTAGTGTAGGCAGTTCTGGTATAACTGTTAAATGAGGTGAGCATAATTGATTTGGTATCTCCAAACAGTTGATGATATACCAAACCCTTGATCGACCACCTGTTTCTAGGGGTTCAGTCCAGAATAATTGTACCCTTGCTGGGTCGCTCAAGTTGACAGTTACATTTCTTGGTGCCGATGGGATTTCTACAATAAATAATGCATGTAAAACTCGAATGTTAGTCATCCTTGAAATTAGCCAAATTAAGCCTATTTTATCAGATAAGCTCCAGTATTTCTATAAATTACTATTTCTCGCGTGATATGGGAATTCGAAAACTCATAATTCATACCTGAATAAGTGGCATAGCTAACTAGACACTAATTGCAGTCATCTTTTATGAGCAAGAGGAAATAATGAGATGAAGGTAGAGGAAAGGACCGATACTGGTAGCTAGTCAAAGTAATAAACATCAAGGTGAACGAACAACTTCCGATAACTGGTTTCTATAGTTATGCAGCAGGAATGATCCGAAACCCGTTCTGGGTGAATAGGAAATACTTTTATTGTTGCAGCTAAAGGGTGCTACATACGTAACTATTCAAATCAAGTGGAAGTTTTGAGAATGATTTGACTTGATTAAGAGTGATAAATTGTACTAATAACATTATTCAAGAAATAATCCTGTTTCATTGTGTGATTCTGTTAATAAACTTATTTTTTTTCAAATTATACCACACCGCACTGCCTAAATTCTACTCATACATTGGCTATCATCTTCTAATTCTACTGAAAACTATTACTAAGCTGGTTATTTGCTGAATTAAACTTGAATTAGCCACTTTCACCTTCTTCAATAACCTTTTTATCACAACATGAGTTAACCCAAGTGAATTCTAAGGGAAGTGAAGATGAGAAAAATTGCTCACAATGCCTTATTAATGTCTAGCTGCATCCAACAAAACTGCAGTAATATGTTTCTAAGTAAAAGGATACTCTGATTGCATTTAATGCCTTTGGGGGTTTAAATATGTTTCACTTAGATCATAGTAAGTCTCTCAGCCAACACAATGAAGTCAGTAGTCAGATGATTTTCGTTATGCATTCAACATTTCACAGAATTTAAGCACATTATAAAAAAGATATAACTTTTGATGGCTCAGAATGTTGCTCTTCAAATGAATGGAATGGATCTCGACGGACACTTGGAAGCTGAAAGAGGAGAGGAGGTTGGTGAAGCAGAAAATAAACAGTGAAACGATGAACAATGATAAGAGGAACTGAGCACAATCTATCAAACACTGGACAAAGAAGTGAAGTGTACAAGCAAAAACAAAAGATACTTCTACGACACACTGACAAGTGAAGCATGACTGGCTGCTGGTAGGTGAGACTGAGAACTGACAACATTGTATCAAATAACCAGGTCACTCACTGTCTGGCAGGGAAGAGATCAACACAGATGAAGCCAATAAAACATGATGAAGAAAATCTAGTTACCAAAGAAGAGAGACAAAGGAAACGATGGTCTGACCACTTCAAAAAGCTCTTGAATCAACCACCACCATCATCTGCACTTCGTCCCGAAATACCACCTGCATCCCAGTCACAGAACTACCAGTGAACACAAGCCCTCTAACGAAAGTCGAAGTGCTGAGTCCCATAAAGCTACTGAAATGCTGGAAAGCAGAAGGACCAGATGGAATCCCACCAGAAGCACTGAGAACAGATACAGAGACAACAGCGGACATGCCCACACCACTATTTCAGAAGGTCTAGCTGGAAGGAAGAGATGGTACCTGGCTATTGGAAGTAGAGCTAACTTGTCAAACTCAGGAAGAAGGAAGACCTAAGTGTTTGCAAGAAATGGCGTGGACTCAGTCTTCTGTCCACCGAGAGCAAGCTAAATATTATACTGCATCATCCTGGAGAGACTAAAGGATGAGCTGGATTCAAAATTAGGACCAAAACAGGCTGATTAGCTGGCTTCAGGAAGTACAAATCATGTGCGGACCAAATTGCAACGCTACACTATGCATCATCATAGAACAGAGTGTAGAATGGCAGTCAACTCTCCACCTCACCTCAGATTCACCGATTTTGAAAAGGCCTTCGACAGCGTCGACCGACAAGTAACTTGGTAGGCAGCAGCTTCTACACTACAGTGTTAGTGCCACAAACCTTTATCAAACTCATTCAACAACTATGTGCTACATGATGAGGCTACATGCCAAGTGATTGACAATGGGAAGCTCAGTGATGCATTTGAAGTGAAGATGAAAGTAAAACAAGGCTGTCTACTATCACCGATCATCTTCCTGATTGTGGTCGACTCGACTGGATCATGGAACAAACAGTGAGGGGCGAGAAGAGTGAGACACGCTGGACTGCGGAAAAGAACCTAGAAGATTTAGATTTCGCCTATGATTTATGTCTAATGTCACACCAATTTGAAGATGTACAGGCGAAAAGTGACAAGTTGGCAGAAAAGACAGGTCAGCGAAGACAGGATTTCAGGTTAGCGTAGAGAAGACGGAGGTGATGAAGATACCTAACCAACAACACCACCAAAAACAACAACAAACTCCAGTCACCATCAACGGGAGAAACTTGAAGGAAGTAGCCTCCTTCACCTATCTAGGCAGTACTGTTTCAACTACAGGAGGCACAGACGAGGACGTCAATCTAACCAGGATCGGAAAGACAGCAAGACAGGCGTTCATTAGCCTGAAAATAGTGTGGAGATCTTCTGCACTCAGCATAAGGTGTGAACAAGATGCGGATTTTCAACACCAACGTCAAATCAGTGCTTCTATGTGATGGTTCAGAGAGTTGACGCGTTGTGAAAGGGATTTCCAACAAACTTCAGACATTCATCAACAACTGCTTACGTTGGCTCGTTACTGAAGATCAAATGTCCAGAAAAATGAGAATAAGCAACAAGGGGCTCTGGGAACGAACCAACCAAGTGCCAATCGCTGAACAAATATGCACTGGAAGGCAGTGGAGATGGATGGGATTGGGCATACACTGAGAGGGTCGACTGGGGACATCACGCGCGAGGCCAGTTGCTCGAGTGGAATCCCCATGGGAAGCGACGAGTTGGACGTCCGAGGGTGACATGTTGGGGATCGTGCGAGAAGGAAATGAGAGCTTCTGGGCTGTCGTGGAGCCAAGTTGAAAAGATTTCAGAGAACAGAGTTCACTGGAGACGTGCTACTGAAGCCCTATGTTTCATTAGGAACCCAAGGAACAAATAAGAATAATATAATAATAATAATCTAAACGTTTTCTTTTTTTACCGAAGTTGTACCACTTGATTTTCTAAAAAATACATATTCTTAGCCTTGGACTGATGGATTCACATGAACTCCTTTCAGAAAATGGAATTTTACCTATCCATTAAAAAAACTTATTCTGCCTATATAAATAAATAAAAGTTTGTTGATATATATATATATATATATATATATATATATATATATATATATATTACAGGCATTGTTTGTTTGGTGAACTGCAATGGAATTCAAAAAATGGTTCGGTGCTTTCTTGAATACAATTCATAGTGCTATATTTTATGACTGTGCTAACTAGTCCAACTATTTCTTCGTGTTTTCTCCTCAAAGAGATGCATAAACAGTTAATGTGCAAAGTATTCTTTTAAAAATCAAGAGGGTATTTTTAAACAGCTAACAAACGTTCATTGTCATAAACAACAGTACAAAATGAGATGAAGTCTTAAGATTTACACAAAAGAAAATAATTTCAAATGACAAACGGAACTCATACGCAGTGCTAAGTTTAAATCGTTTGAGAAAACTCTTGAAAACAACTTTGTCGTCTTAGCGTAGACAACTACAAATTGAACTGAACAATTCATCAAAGTGTAACAAATTAGAAAAGAGAGTACTGCTTTCATGTTTCGATGAAGGTCAAACAGCAATATTATAGAATACATAGTGGTCATAAAAGTATTCATTTAAACAGCAAGCTACAGATAGCATTTGCTGGTTTACGTCAATCTTCTCAAAGACGTGGAAGACGCGACTCCCAAATGTGATTATACTTTGGAAACGGAAAATTCAAAGAATTCAGAAACTAAAGAGAATTGTTGTTTCATGAATCTGAATGGGGTAATCGCACTCACTAGCAAAAATCTGTTTTACCTGAATTTAACAACGGTCTATTAATATATGCTTTCTATGACTTGTTTTCTAGTTGATGTGCACAGTTAAAGCCTTATGAACGCTCGGTGTATAGTTCCAACTCTGAAAAAATATTTTTGGAGAGGCTATTAGTAATTGGATAGAGGGATCAACAGTTTTAATTCGCTACTTCTTGGCATTCGCCTTCATCTAAAAAGCCATTCAAAATAATTTACTGGCATATGATTCATTGAGAACTAATCAAATAGAAATAATTTTTGCTCTTAGCCTCAGTTATAAAAGAGATTTTGTGCACACATGCTGATTGTACGCGTTTCTGAGCCTAATCACAGCTATTTCTTGAGATTCTATCAATAATGAGTACTTCACTTTCCTCCTACAAATTCGGCTTCATTCGGATTACTATGAGCTACACTGACTGGTCAAATAGTTTAATTAAAGTGAACGGAGACTTAGATATGAGACAGTCACCCACCCATTTGACAAATCCCTAGGTAGTTGAAAAGAAGTGAAAAATTAGTCAGCAAATGGATCGCTTACCCCAAGGGGTCAAGCAAGGGACCAGTAATTTACTTTCTACTGGTTTGCTTTCTGACATCAGCTAGGCTTTCACTTAACTAATGATCATCACTACATTTTAGCAATACCATCCTGTTTAACCATGGTGATTTCAGATAGTCCCATAAACAATGCATTACATCTTATGTCACCTTTCAGCTTAGATTAGGAAAGAAAAAAAAGGCAAATGAAACGAAGAATAATCTTCCTTTTCGACAAAGTCATTTACTAATCTACACATCTGTGAATGTAAATAACAGTGCTTAGAACATTCGAGAATTATTTCTAGTCAGGAGTCAAAATATACTGAACAAAGAAAGGAAGTTACATAACGAAAGTGAAGGTTTGAAGTGTGAAGATAAATAACGTGTTAAAAGGAGAAAAATATAACTACGTAATACAAGATTTACCCGTGAATGTCAAGGTCTTATGACGGCTATGGCAAAGACAGATTGAAAGTACCCTTTTGAACACATAGCTCTGGTTTGAACGTTACGATGGCCAGTGCTACAACTATACTCAAATTCCCTTATCTGACTCCTTCTGGGTGGCTTGACTGAACCCTGCAAACGATTTCGAAGCAGTTACTGAAGCACTGAACATCCAGAAGTCCAAGCCAGCGCTCCATGTCAAAAAAGGTACGTTCAATCTCTGTCTTTGCCATGGTTATTATAAAGCCTTGACATTCGCAGATATATTCTGTATTACACAATTATACTTTTTTTTATCTCCACACGTTATTTATCTTCTCACTTCAAACCATCATTTGTATTGTGTAACTTCCCTTCGTTGTTCAGCATATTTTGACTCCTGACTAGAAATAATTCTGGACTATAACATTCATTCACGAATGTACAGCTTAATAAATGACTTTATCGAAACGGAAGATTTTTCTTCACTGCATCTGTCTTTTTGTCTTCGTCAAGTCAGTTAGATAAGCTTGATTTGAATCACATAGATGTCTCCCCCTTTATAAGTATCTTGATCGTCTTCACTCTTTAACTGACAGTTACATCATTTTGCATTCTTACTTACTATCTAAAATCTACTGACTCCAACCCATCAGTTTAAATCCTGCAAAGTGAAACAAAACGGAAAATTGTACTCATTATCGCATCATGAATTTATGATTAATTCACTGAATTATCAAACTCCCCTCAACTAAAAAAACAGTTTCACTTATAAATCATTATCAACCGAACACCTGATAAGTATTTCACCTTACTGTAGGAACCAGTTAAACTAAGCTATCAAATATGATCCATCTCACAAAAAGACTGAGAATCTTCAAACCAGACATCGGCATATTACTCCTCCAACCATTCATTCACAGTTCACCAGGTAATAAATCTTCACAGCTATTAACTAACCGATGAAAATTAAAATTAAGGTCTTCTCAGGAATGAGATAGCAAATGTTTAGTATTATGTTCATAGGTCCAGCAATGACCTAATCAAGGAATATATACGGGAGGTAGAGGAAGGATATTTCAATAGCTACTTATGTATTCTACTTTATCCTGAATTATTTTGAGACTGACAAATGAGATGCGCATGAATTTGATAAGAAGTTTTCATAAAAGTTGAGATGAATACTAATCTCTGTTGTGATACCTGTTCATTTCCCTTTTAGAACAAAACGTTTACTTTCCTGAAACAGAAACTTACTTGTGCAGGGCGAATCAGGTCTGTCTAATACTGGGTGACGATGATAGCCAGCATCACATATACAATTATCAACTTCGCGAATATTTGAAGAATTATACATTGTAATTCTAGATCCATACTTTAAAAGATTATATCCTTGTATATTTCGTGATGATAGGGTGTGAAATGGGTTGTGTGAATTTACTGGGCAACGCTGACATGAGAATGGTCCAAAAGTTGATTTGAAATAATTCAGTCCACATGCTAAAAAACAGCAGAACATAGAAGCCGCGAAGATAATTATTCCTATATTTCCTTCCAACTTCCGGTTTCAAATATTTTTTCCAACGGTTTATATACTACTGTATTATAGAAAACATTCAGTAAAAAAATGAATACGGCTTTCACACCTTTTACTGGTCAACGAATCTCTACACATTTGATCATAAGAAAACAAATTAAATGATTGCAGAGAAGAAACTTTCGCCCTTTTCAACGAAATCATTTTCTTATCTGTACATCCGTTAACATATAGTAGAAAGGATAAAACATTCCAGTGTAACTTCCGGTCAAAAGTCAATATGTTTCATGGCAGAGGAAAGTTTCGCAATGTATATAGGCGTTTAAAATGGGGAAATAAACAAAACGATTCCAAAATAGAAATTATCTAGAGTGAAGAATCTTCCACGATGGCCATGGCAACGAAAGAGGTTTTACTCATTTCTTTTGGAAGCATAATGATGGTTTGAACTTTTGAATCCCCAATGCTTCAGCTGTCTCCATTTTTCTTAACCTCACTCCTTTCAACTGACTTGGCTGAGCTTTTTACAAAATTTTGAAGCACTAATCATAAACAGCCAAGTGTCTTCAGTTTACTACATCTTCTAAACGAGCTAAAGATGCATTCTCGTTCTCTCCTGGAATGTTCTGTCCTTCCTAGTATACATATTCACGAATGTACAGATTAGAGAATAATTTTGTGGAAAAGAAAAATGTTTAGTCACTGGAATCATCTTCTGTCTGTACATATTTATAGTTTGTGCAAGTAACCAAACTGTGGCCTACTGTTTCCTTCTCATTACTCCTAGTAAGCAAAGCCATAACTACCATTCAGCAAGTTGTTGAATATTCATGGTACAAAATATTCTTCACCGTCAAACAGGATTACTACAAAATATGCCACGAAATATGCTCAGAAGTGATGTTCTGAAAATAGTAAAACATGTTACTTATTATGACTTTATTACAGTTAAAAACATGAACATATGTACTCTGAAATAAAACACCTAAACTCAATGAATAACCAGTTTATGTCATGTAAAAACTCTTCTAGTAAATGGAGACTTTTAATGATCTGACTGGCAAGAGAAAACTCAGTAATAAAACCTTTGAAAACATGTATACATTAATTTGGTCATTCATAAGTAGACCCGCGAATGTCATCTTATCCAGTTTTTCAAGTATAAGAGAATGTAGTTTCCTTAAATTCATTGAAACAGATGTGTTCAAATGCCTGAAGTAATTAAAACCTTCGCAATGACCCGGACCAGATGGCATGCCAGGAATACTTCTCACGAAATGTGCTGACATTCCGTGCCATTCACTTACAACCATTTTTAACGAGTCTTTTGCTGGAAACGGTGCACCGTCTGCCTGGAAAGAAAGTAAAATAGTTCTGATACCTAAGTTCATATCTGTTGGAGCAAAAATGAAATTCTGCCAAATCGCAATTACCTCACAATTCCTAAAAATAATAGAAAAAGTCTTGCTTCATACGCTTGGACCTCCTTTGCTGGCTTCCAGAGATCCAAACAAATCTGCCTACAAATCCAGAAAGAACACCTTAGATGCTGCAGCTGTTTAACATTACAATATTATTGTCAGTCTGGACAAAAGTGCCAAATATGTTAGATCTACATTCTTAGATTGTACTTCTGCCTTGAACTCTATCCCTAGGCGCTTCTTATTAGACAGACTTGACAGTACTTACATTGAGTCTATGGTTGTGTGTAAACTGTCTAGATTCATATTTTTCTGAGAAAAGATAGTGTGTTCTATACAGAGGAAAGCGCTCTACTTAGCTGCTTAAGGAAGCCGGTGTACCTTAAGGTGCTGTTATTCCTCCTTTCCCATTCTCTTTCTTTTCACATTACTTACAAACTTCAAGTAAAGCTTTGCTAAGTATGCTGATGACCCGACAGTACCCATGCCGATCATCTCCCCTTCTGACTGTTTTTAGTTTAATAACTTCTTAGAGTAAACTGGTTACTGGTCTTCTTTAAATGGCCTCACACTCAATCCCTCCAAATGTCGGATGGTTAATTTTAGCCTAAGACATCAAAAAGACCCTTGCACACTGCCTCAGTCCCATGACTCTTGTTATGTGGAGGGCTCTTTAGTAGAGAATGAAGTAAGCCTGTTCCATCTTGGCTTATACCTTTGTTCTGATCGTTCTTGGTCGCCTCACATCTTACCGATTTCTAGAAAATCCTCCTCTTAACCTTTTATATTAGGAAACTCAGACTATCTGGCATAGCTCAGCATTTACTCTTACTTTTCATTAATTCTTATTTTCTGTCGATACTTATTATTCCTCCTTATTCTTTCTTGGACTCCAGAAAAAGACTACGTTGCATTGCATAGGATTTTGAAGTCTATTAGCAAAGTAGCGCACCCCTAACCGGGGTGATAAATATAGTCGTGGATAGGCATCTGAACTCTTGTAGACTACTGGCTAAAATTATTTTTGTCTAATGACAAGCATCCTCCGTATCTGCACCTTTCTCCATGTCCTCTGGGAAGACAAGAATCAAATATATTAAACTCTGTGTACTCACAGCTACATACAGAAGTCCAACCGTACCTTATTTACCTTATACATTGTATGAAGGAAATCTTGTTAGACTCAGTCTTATCTATCAACTTTGTAATAGTGAACAGCTATCATATCCCTAAAACTATTAAAGATTTCAGTAATCCGTTTATTTGTTATTCTTTGTTATATATTGCTAAACAGAACCACTGTCAATGTTTAAAAATTTTGTACAATGGGTAAATTAATGTAATATCACACGCTGAGAATTTTGTACTGTAAACATAATTATGGTGTAGAATAAAGCAAATATATTATTATTATCATTATACATATATGGATATGTAAACGTACGTTCGCACAACTGATCCATTATATTGTGTTCATCCTGAACACCGAAGCCAGGCATACATTCACAAGGTCTTTCTAAATGGTTTAAAAATTTGCTTCTAGAATAACTGTCGAAATTTTCTCCTGTACTCGAATGAAGAGGTATCGATGATTCATAATACCATAATCCATCAGTTTGACAAATTAATTTAGGAACCTCCTTGTGACTGAGTAGTGCTGCACCAGTAATACAACGTCCATCCACACTTAGACTCTCCATTATCTTTCCCGTGATAGTTCGAGGATATTCTACGAAATTTTTTCGAATAAATGGACAGACTATAAATCCTACTCGCACTCGTCTTATCGTTGAGCATGATCCACGATCACGTATGGCTATTCGGATATTTTCACTTTGTACATTAAGTCTACTGATATGTACAGTAACTTGTTCTGAGGAAAAATCATTTGGTTGGTTTTTGTTTTGATTGGATACATTCCAGGCGATAAGAAGTTTTTCTGGAGATGGGTCAGGTATTGTCTTATTTGTTGTAGATAGTGTAGCCAACTTTGTATATAAATTTTGTCTGAAGAAAAGTGAGATAGAATTAAAATAAAGTCAGTGTTGTTCGGTATCAGTTTGTTTTAGATTCTGTTGCAAAACGACTGTGGTTTTGTACGTGTTTATTTGAACTTACTTCAAGATCATTTCTCATGCAACATAACGTCAATTCGAAATTTACCCGCAACCGTCTGCATCAACAAGGTATTCAGTAAAATTTTAGCTTGATATGAATTGAAGGTCAAAGGTAAAACTGTTAAGTTATTCCAGGAATACAAAATTGGTTCTATACATTTCAGTCAAGGAGACTACTAACAATGATTAATGGGAAAATCCAGAAGTAGGTACCAGACATATCTCAGCTGATCAAGCGCAAATTTGTTCGGTTGAAAGTCCGGTTCAAATGTCCACATGATACAGTAAGTGAGGAAATCTAATCATCGTCTTGGTACATACATATACCACTTTTCTTCTCAAGGTCTGTTGTATAATTACTAGATGGTAAATTATGATGATTCTACTCATCATGTTTCAATTTTTTACAAATGATATCATCCTTTTGCTTTCGAAACATTTCTTCGCTATTTTCTTTGTTCCCACCTTCTGAATGTCCTGTTATGTTACTGCTTAAATGTTTCACCTGTATTCTGACTAACACTGCATAGTTTTTCTGAATAAACATAAGGCATTCTGATCTCCTACTGAACAAAGGATTATAACTGACTTAATTTTTGTCCCTTTATTATATTAAACTCTTATATATTCTTTTAAGAAAATCGGGTTCATACCTGAAAACGTATATATGCTAAATTACAGAAGGCTTATATAGTCAGAACAGTTCTTAAAACAAACATTATTTGAAAACTAGGGATTATAGAAGACATTTTTGAAACCGCTTATATATCCAACTCATCCATTTTGTACACTGAAAAATTAATTTACACCAACAGAAACTTGTGTCCACTGAATATGACAAAAGAAGGATTTCGGAAAGTGAGTCAGCTTAGTTCCTCAAAAGCCAACCTGATTTCTGAATCAAAACGTTCAACATTTCAGAATTCAATACAGGCAATAACTTACGTTTGGTTTGTATCCATTTCATCTGCTACTGCTCCATCAACTTGAAGCAAGAGGAGTTCTAATGTTTGTTGGCAGTAGCGTAATACCTCTGAATTAGGATGTTCACTACATTCTCTTATTGTAAAAGTAATTTCCACAATAATGTTTCTCGCTTCAATGACAAGAATTGGTGGACTATATAACCAATTATCATTGTGTTTTTGGGCTATCTGGCATACACCATATATTTTTCTTTGTAAAATTGGATGCGTTTGTTGACGCCACTGAAGAATACGGCAAATATGAATAAAAAAATGAAAAGCATAGTGAACAACCTAGTTCATTAAAAGCATGAAGATGCCTAAAGATGAGTGTAATTTTCGTTGTAAATTGTGGTGAGTGAAGAAACACAACAGGCATTTCTCACCTGAATGTAATGTAGTTCAGGACTATATAAAATGTCTCTAAGTTGAAGAGTTATCCTGATATCGCTATGGACAACAAATTATATCTGAAACGTAATCCAGCGAATAATACTGTTTCACTGCGTTTTACATTTAATAAATCAACTCAAGTGAACTTGTATTCTCCCATTATGTCTAAGTTGTACTCATATGGCAATGATAAAAGGTATGATCATTTATACAAAAGGGAAGAGAGTCAGCAGTTATCCATTTGCAAAGACCTACTTTTACTTAATACCGTTAAAAATAATATATTATTATAAATTTACATAGAAGCACGTACTGTTGTTTACCGATAAAGATCTGTGGAAGGTTCAGTGAGCTTTGCAAAACTTAATCCAATTTACAGATAACTTGTATTGCAAGGTTCGAAATATCTCCACAATTATGACACGATAAATTAACACTGAATTCTGCATTGCATGCTTTTCGCTGTCTAATTTAGTGTCTTGCATGCTAACTTCACCTTATTCAATGTGATGCATATCAAATACTGCCCGATTCCAAATTCTAAATGTCAGCACCATTCCTGTGTTTTCGAAACACCTATTCCAGCTATTCATTTCCAAGGCCTGGCTGATGTTTGGATTTCAAATGCACAGAATTTAAAGGAAAAATAGGTGAAGTTCATCTTAGTACAACACCTAGTAAGATGCACATAAATGTTCACCACCTCTCTAGCTGTTATCACTACTTGAAGAAAAGCATTGTACAATATTTCATTTCCTGCAGACCCCATGACAGAGTTACGGCATTAAGCTGGAAGGATTGACAGAACAGGGTATAGACTGATTTCTATGGCAAACAAAATGGTAAATACCCGCGACGTCCCCTTAAATTGAAAATTTAAGTACTAATTGATACATATGCAAATCAGTAAAGAAATACGGGTTCCCCTAGGTTGCAGATGCAAATTAGTGATTAGGGCCAAAAATTGAAAACTGGTTTTAAAAACATTCACTGGATGGCTGTTGAGGTTTATCACCTATAAGTCCATGACTTTTATTATAAACAGCCGTGTCATTTAACAGAAAAATAGCTGGTAAACCTACCCGAGCCCTTACACTGAATAAATGAATAAATTTAAAAGGTCTGTTTGCATCAATCAGTATTATCAGGGGAATATATCTAAACACCACTATTCATTGATGTTCTGCTAACAGAAACTGTTAATTATGCATGTGAACTATTAGTTGGAAAAATAATAAATGTGGGAATTTCTTCAGAAATAACGAAGAGATTGTTATTAAAATCCCCTCCTTGGTTCTATTCTAAATGATTTTTTATCGGAAGAACTGAAGAACCCCCTGTGAGATGATGTAAGTTCGAATTCCATTGCTTTCAAGTGAACGATAATGACATATTGGCAGTATTTCGAATCATACTCTCTAGTACAGAAAAGAATTCTGAACATGTTATACTGCAAGATTTACCGTTTAGAAAACAATTCCGATTTTATCATTAATTATAATGATCATAATAATAGTAATAATGGCCAGTAATGAAATTCAAGATAATAACAGGGTTTCAGACTGGCATTTATCACAACTTGGCATCAATTAGGTAACCAGTGAGAACCTGGAAGCACTTGGCATCTGCTTCTTCCTAGTATGGGACCCTTCAGCAATACGTACTCAAGACCACGTCAAGAGTCAAATCCAGCACATTAATTCATTGGTGAATGCCACGCCGAAACCCGTAAAGTCTCCACAAACCCTAAAGTACATTGCTGGATAATGCTCATTATTGGCATGCTTCAAGACGGATAAAGAAAGGACCGAAAGAGACGCCGTGACCTATGTGTTCAAATAATAAGCTTAAGTGTTTTATTTCTGACGGCTTAATTGCCAAACGCAGCTGTTGCAAGCAACTAACTTTGTAAAAAGCTTTTGTTTTTCTGTGTAGTCCTGAGTTGAGGAGAAAAATACACAGCCTTTGGAACAAATGACTGCTGTTTTGTGACGAGGACACTACGCCGGATTTAGTTTGTAGCGCAGTTTTATCTCTTAGGTACTGCAAAGGTCTTAAGGAATAGAAAAAGAAGGCCAGATTTATCTATGCAAAAGGAATACGTTCAATTTTTCTGTCTTCTTTGGCCTAGTAGAGGTCTGAAGCACATAAATAGATGCATCATACAGACAGATCATTGACCCGTTACCCTCTGTTCTGCTTTGCCATCTTTCTTTCTGCTAATTGAAGAATCTAGTCGAACAATATATGGGTTTTATATTGTCGATGGATATTGGGTAGTAATGGAATCCAGGATATGCGTTTCGTCCTATTTGGCAACATTGAGGCTTCCTCTCAGGAGCCCATATGCCAAAAGTGATCAGTCAGTTCGGTCTAGTCAACGACGGAATGATACATATGAGAACATGCGTAGGTGTATTTATTATTTCAGTATTATTTTCATTATCGTCACCATTGATCACGTCGTAAGGCTTATTCACACGTATTTTCACAGAGTTCACAGGATTTTCATTTTATTGAGTGTGTCACTCATCTCCTGAGATCTTTAGCATACATAATGACTTATAGATGCATGCATGATATCCCGAGTGACTGTCTTTTATATCTATATCTAAATCGTAACAAACCTTAATTTAGCCACTGTTTCACTTTAAACTGAACTACAACAAATTTTGTCCAGTCATTTTTCTAATTGGTTCAGCTGTAACTTCTTTATCATTCACTGGTTATCTTATAATAACAATGATAGACGTACAACCGTACAGTCTTATGAGGAGTTTCTCAAAACTTATTTTGTTCAAAGTACTGTTTTTTTGGCTGTTTTGGCTGACATATACGTTCCCAGACCAATGAAAAAGTAAACGTTAAAATGAATGAGCGTTGTGTGAGAAGAAAAACTGCTTTTATCTTGATAGTTTTAATTAATTGGTAATCAGTTTTACACGGTAAATTTATGTTATGAATAGTATTCTGCCGGGAAAGCTTGCATATTACTTTGTTATAGTCATAAGTGAGCACTACTGAGTCCCATGCTTGGACAAGATAGCTGTCTAGTGCTCCTGTTTTCCAATGTTTCTTTAAGTGATGTCACTCCATGGCGAATGCCAACTTGAAATCAATAAATAAGTCTCCATAAACCTCGAAATGAAATTATCCATACTTCTTAGTCTAGATTACAGCCACTAACGTTTTATTAAAATCGTACTATCTCCTTTCAACTTAGAAGAGCAGTTTAACGTCTTAACTAGTTGCTGAGTACTATTTCGACGCATAAAAATGCAAAAAATAAACAAAGATCTAGTTTCTATTTCCGAACTTTGGAAATCTAACAATTAAAACAAGAAACTAACTCAATTTCCAGTATATCTAATGTCTCGCTAGTCGGCTTCATTATCATACAAGGCTGAATAATAGAAGACGCCCAGTGGTATTCCTGTCAATGACCCTGTAGCCTGTAATTTCGCCAAATCTTAGCCAATAATAATTGTAAAATTCTGCTGGATTTCGGATTTCGTTTCCCTGATGAAATTATCCAATGTTTAGCAGATAACTCAACGAAACAATGAGCAGAAAACGTGGCCTTCTTTTTTTGTTTTTGACTATTTTACTCACAAAAATGAATTTCAACTGCTTCAACCAATATAAAAATTTGTTTTAGTATTTGTTCACGAAAAAATAAAATCGACTGGATCTATCCCTATAACTTTGAATGAAGTATCAAGATTGTTTTTCAAAGAATTTCTTACTGACACCTAAACCGTGAAACGGAATTACTGCTATCGTCTGATAAAGGTGGAGGAATAGAAGATATCAGTTCTGTAAAAACCGAGTGCCGATTAGAGGCGAAAGAAATGTTCATTTTTAAGAGATCTTACTCAAATTTGAACATCTGTAAGGACGACGTGATATCTATTCATCAACACTCGGTGTGGTAGTAGTCGCAACACTTGGCCGATATCCATGTAGAAATGACACAACGGTGAGTGACCACTCTCGGCTCAAATCTACACATGCCATTCATTGATATTAGATAAAACTATTTCTTCTAGGTGCTCTGAATAATCCCATATTTTATCGGCCCAAAACATTTCCTGGAAGAGTATCAAGATAATTGAATTTGAGGGTTTTGGGAGGATTTAGTGATTTTTCAAGTTGGTATTCATCATAGACTGACATCAGTTGAAGGAACATTGAAAACCTTGGAGCACTAAGTATGTTTCGTAGCAGCATTGGCCTACTGAACAGTGCGCACCCATGACTCCTCCAGCTATCAAACCCAGCACCTTCAGGTTCCGTGACCAGTACTTTAACATTAAGCCTCTTAGTCGGGATTCATTGGTCCAATGGAAAAATAAATTAATAAACTTCCACAAACCTCCAGATAGAACTAATCTAGCCCTCATTGGTTACTAGCTTCAAGAGATGATTTTCAAAGTTCCAACGAGAAGTCGCGATCGGCTGGGAAAACCTAGTGGCTGTAAGGACAGTTACTCGATGATGACATTGGGTGATTGTTGCGCTATGTCCTGAACCAACGGAAGTTGGAAATGTGGACCACTGGTTCCCAACCCAGTGGCTCAATGGCAACGTGCTGGTTATGGAACCTGAAGGTTCTGGATTCAATTTCCAGTAGGTGGGGTCGTGGACGCGCACCATCCATTAGTCTCATGATGCGATGAAACAGTTGTTCAGTGCTCCCAGCTTTCTAATGTTCCTCCAACTGATGTCATTCACTGATGAATACCAACTTGAAGAATCAAGATAATATTGGTTTTAACACTAATTAGCAAATGTACAGTATCAATGTCGCTCTGGTTAACATGCAAAGACTACTTTAACAAAGATGAATTATGTTGATTCAGTTGAATGACATTTACTTTGCTGAATGAGGTAAGAGTGAAACATTTTAATAGTTCTGCAGACAATTCGTTTTATCTAAATTGGAATGCAAATCATTGTCGATATTTTACAATATCTATAAATAACTTGTGTCAACTTACTCCTTCGTATTTCCCTGTGTTTCTTGTCCAGTTATTCCAGTCCGTAACATCTGTATCCAGAAGGATAACTGAAATATAGAGCAATGTATATATATATATATATATGTATATATGATATGTATATAGAAATATATATACATATAATATATATAATACGTATATAATATATATATTATGTATATATTTTATATTTAGTATGTATGTAGTATATATATAATATTCTAGGCTGTTAAATCCAGCGTGAACTAAATGTTCGTTAATTAGTTAAGTTGATGTACATCTCTTCAATTCCTAAATCAGTTGCCAGACGATAACATAAGTCTACATAAATGACAAAGCAAACCACTAAGCATTGACGAAAAGATTCAACAGAACAAGTGAGCTATATGAGAAAAAGCTGCAGTGTGGTACTGAATAACCTATCACAACTTGAAGCTGTGCATCTACATTATGTAATTATCAGCGGCGATCAGATATCCACTGTGAATGTAAAGAACACTCTCTAAATACACTACTCTCTAAATGGAAAGTGAAACCGGTTTTCTACAGTGTAAACTAATGCTAACAAGATGCTTATTGATTAATATTAGCTCTATATAGCATTATAGAATTTACGAACGGATTTTGCAGAGTATCTGTTCAATTAATTAATCACTTGTCTGTAGGTTTTATTTTCTAACTCAAGAAACCTTTTTATGCATATTAAACAGGGATAAGGTCATAGACATCAGAATATACATAAATATGTTATTTAAGCAGGGTGTCATATTTCATATATTTTAGGTCAGTATAAACTGAGTGATCCGCCCTACTCAAATTATTTACGAAATAGAAAGAAGAGTCAAAAAAATCTATAGTCCATTGAAAATGTTCTTCATTTCATCTTACTAATAATTTTACTGTAAAAGGTCTTGTGGTAAAGAGTTTGGTAAATAAAAATGCTCTTTCGAAGATATTCTCAAAAGACATACTGTCGTATTCATGTTTAGTGTCCTTATCTAATAGCCAATAATATCTATGTCGTTTGTAGGATTAGAAATCTTGGTAGGTTGTGGTTGGGATAATAATATGCAGTTGACAGTTACGTGAAAAAAAATACATTATTTGACAAGGTAAACAGGATATTTTCATAAGAGTTGTTAGTGACAATCAGGAGATTAAGAATAAGCATACGTGATTGCCGTCACATCTAGAAGCAAAATTCTAAAAATTGGTGCAAACACCTAAATTACCATACTACGGGTAAATTCACATAAACCAACAATATCATCCCACAACAATTGCTCGACAGCGACTGCATTTTCATAAGATTCATTTGGTAGAGTTTCCAAACTAAGGAAAGTTACAGGCAAAGTAAGTAAGAGTACTATGCACTACGAAAGCTCTGGCAATGCGACGATTGAAGCTAGAATTCTGCGTTCAGAAGCTAATTTGCTATTCAATTTCTATCACCGCAGATCCTTGAACTCAAGACTGTTTTCAATTCATCTTTTTGATTTCATTATGTTGCCATTGCATCACTGACGTTAGATACATTTTGTATTTGCGCAAATCACAGCGTGTCTGAAATCAAATAATTCCAACGTTTCACACAGTAGTCTAGTCAAGGCTTCTTCAGGGGAATAGTCAAAATTAAAATACCAAAGAATCATTTAACCTCTCCTAGGTAACTAGTTACGAGCCGATCCTAAGCACGGATAAAGAGGCAAAGTTAGGCATAGGGCTAGCAACCCTACACCGGAAAACCAATCTAAACCCAAAGAAGCTCCAAAGCACAAGTAAATATAGGAAATAAAACTAAACTTATTGCTCCCTGGATTCAGAAAGACGAAAGGACGCCGATTGGTGAAAGCATTCAGGAAGCCGATTGGCCGGTGTGCCTTCTCTCGATGAAAGCGAAAGTAAGATTGGGGACATGGAAGGTCCGCACTATGTTTGAACCCAGCAAGGCTGAGTTTTGAAGTGGCTACCACGATGTCCCCGAAAGCGTCGAAGGTTATCACACAGTGGGAACCGATCTCCTCCATGATCACGATCATTACAGCAAGATTCAACTCAAAAGGAAGGAAAGTCACAATCATACAATGCTACACTACGCACCTACAAATAATGCAGATCAAGAGTAGAAGGAGGAATTCTACACACAACTACAATCAGTAATAGACCACAGCCCATCCCAGATAGGGACATGAAACTTTTTATGGGTGGTATGAATCCCAAACTGGGAGAAGACAACACATGAAGAGAACTAACCATGGGTAGAGAGGCACTCGGTGAATGATGAGTGAGAATAAAGAACTGTTTGCAGACTTCTGTACATTCAACGATTTCATGATTGAAGGCATTGTGTACAAACACAAGAATGTTCACTAAGTGACATGGATTCGATTTCACTAGACACCAGGACAAACTAAAACTCAGATCGACTTCAACTCGATGTGAAGAAAGTGGAGATGGAGATGCAGCTCACTGAACACAAGATGAAGATGAGAAGCAAATGCAGGTTTACACCACTTCCTATCTAGTGCTAGGAACCTACGTTCAAAATCAAGTTAAAAGCCTTCAAAAAAGAAGCTGGTGATAGACCACAGTTCAAGTTCAGCACCTAGAACAGAAACTGAAAAGCAAAACTATAACGCACATCCTCACGTCAGCCATCAGAACAAAATGGGAGACGTTGAGCAACATACTTGAAGGATCGGGCGTGGAAGAACACTGGAATTCTTTGAAAAGGTTGTGTAAAGAAACTTGCATAACCGTATTAGAAAGGAAAAGGAAAGAAGACAAGGAATGGATCTCCACGGACACATCGAAGCCCATAGAGGAGAGAAGAATTGTGAAGCTGATGATGAACCAGTGCAGCGCAAGGATAAATAACGATTACAGGAACTGAGTACAATGTATAAAACACTGGACAAAGAAGTGAAGAAGAGTGCATGCAAAGACTAAAGATACTTCCACGAAACACTGGCAAGTGAAGCAGAACAGGCTGCAGGTGGAAGGAACAGAGACCTGACAACACTATATCAAATAACCAGGTTACTATCTGTTATTGAAGAGACCAACGTAGATGAAACCAATGAAAGGTAGTGAAGGATACTTAGCTACCAAAGAGAGAGGGGAAACAAAAGAAACAATGGGCTGACCACTTCGGAAAGATCTTGAATCAACCACCACCACCACCTGCAAGTCGTCCAGAACTACCACCAGAAGCCCAGCCTCAGAATTACCAGTGAACACAAGCCCTCTTGTAAACGCTGAAGCGAAGTCCTGAACGCCATGGAGTTGCTGGAGTCCGGGAAAGCAGGGGGATCAGATGGAGTTCCTCAAGAAGCACTGAAAACAGACGCAGAGCCAACTTCGTATATGCTCACTGCACCATTACTAGTCAAGGATGCCCACTATCCCCATTCTTATTTTATTTTATCATAGATATTCTTATGGAGGTTTCCCTCTCGTCACCTAATTACACAGACGTTGACCCAATCACAGGTGAATTTCCTTTAGATCTAGAATATGCAGATGACATAGTCCTGTTAGGTGAAGTCGCTGACAAGATGCAGTGTCTTCTGAACACTTTGAGTGGGAATTTGAGAGTACTTGGGATGCGATTTTCACCACCCAGATGCAAATTTTTGCTCCAGGACTGGTCTTCAGTGGTACTGCGGCTAACAATAGAGAGTGAAGTGGTTGAGTGTGTTGACCACTTCACTTACTTGGGAAGTGGGATCAGCCCCGGTGGGTTAGTTGCCGATGAGATTTCTGCCCGGACACAAAAGGCTCGATTGGCTTTTGCCAATTTGCGCCACCTATGGCGCCGTCGTGATATTCGTTTGTCTATTAAGGGTCGCGTGTACTGCACAGCAGTCCCCTCTGTTCTACTGTATGGCTGTGAAACATAGCCATTGAAAGTGGAAGATATGAGAAGGCTTCAGGTGTTTGACAACTGTTGCCTTCGTAGTATAGGACGTATTCCGTGGTGTCACCAAGTGAGCAATGCAGAAGTCAGGTGTATAGTTTTAGGGAGAAGAGGTAAGCCGATTGACGAGGTTGTGAACCCTGATCGTCTGAGATGGTTGAGACACGTACTACGTATGCCTAGTCACCGATTGCCTCATCACACAATGTTGGCTGAGGTGGGTCCAGGCTGGGAAAAGGCCCGAGGTGGCCAGACTAAAACATGGCACCAATGTATGAAGTCTCTGACTGTTGGTTTAAGCCATATAGGACGACGCAGACTAGGTGGTTGGGGTCCACGGGACAAGAGGAACCAGTGATTGGAGACCCTAGGTGATATGGCTCAGAACCGATGTCAGTGGAGCAGATGTATGCACATATTATCCTCATCTTAACGACGCTATACCGAATCTCACCATTTTGTCACTCCTCTTTCCTTTCTTCTCATACTTTATATTTTTTTTGACTGCATTCACTTATCTTCATCTTTCACCTCACTACCTTTTTACTTGATGTGCTGATATGAGTTGTGGCAACTCGGACCGCTATGCAGTAATGCATGGTCCTATATTGATGATGATGACTACTGCAGAAGATTTGCAAGGAACGAAGAAAGGGTACCTGCAGATTGAAAGAAGAGCAACCTGGTCAAACTTCCATGGAAGGAGAAACTATATCTTTGCATGAACTGTCGGAGAATCATGTTCCCGTCCACTCAAAGCAAACAAAATATCAAGCTTCATCATCCTGGAGACTAAAGGATGCATGGGATTCAAAATTAAGACCAGAGCAGGCTGATCAGCTGGATTCAGGAAGATCAAATCATGTGCACATGAATTTGCAACGCTACGCTATGCATCATCATAGAACAGAGTGTAGAATGGCAGTCAACTCTCCACCTTACCTCAAATTCATCGATTTTGAAAAGGACTTTGATATTGTCGACTGAGGAGTAATTTGGCAACTGCTTCAACACTATGCAGTACCACAAACCTTCATCAAACTCATTCAACAACTATATGCCATATGATGAGGCCACATGCCAAGTGATTGAAAATGGGAAGCTCAGTGATGCATTTGAAGTGAAAACGGGAGTGAAACAAGGCTGTCT